GCATTGGGTGTGTTATTGTACTGGCCACACAGAATGAGTGTCACATGCTTCCATTATGTCAGGCCTACCAGCTGGAAATCAGTGTCAACTTGGAGCAGGCATGGAGGGGTGCGAATTGGGTGCGTTATTGTACTGGCCACACAGAATGACGAGTGTCACATGCTTCCATTATGTCAGGCCTATCAGGTGGAAATCAGTGTCAACTTTGAGCAGGCATGGAGGGGTGCGAATTGGGTGCGTTATTGTACTGGCCACACAGAATGATTGTCACATGTTTCCATTATGTCAGGCTTACCATTCGCTTTGTCATGGAATGAAGTGTCAGCTGGCTCGCTCAGACCTTGACTCGTCGAGCAGTTGGACAGACCGTCCAGCTGCTCGAGTGGTCAAGGTCTGACTGAGCCGCTCGCCGCATGGCTGGTGCTATGACTCTGCTTTGGTTGATGATTCCTCTGCCAAGTGTCACCATGTCGACGACAATTCACTAAAGTCAGGTCTTCCTCCTGGGCATCAGTGTCAACTTAGAGAAGGCATGGATGGAGGGGTGCGTGTTCGGTGCGTTAGTGTACTGGCCACACAGAACGAGTGTCAAGTGATGTCAGGCTTACCGTCTGCTTTGTCATGGAATGAAGTGTCAGCTGGCTCGCTCAGACCTTGCCTGTTGGAACAGTTTTTCGGAGAAAAACTGTTCCAACATGCAAGGTCTGAATGAGCCGCTCGCCGCCTGGTTGGTGCTATGACTCTGTTTTGGTTGATGATTCCTCTGCCAAGTGTCACCATGTCGACAAGCAGTTACGGTGCAGTGGATGTCGATGAATGTCAATCCATTAAAGTCAGGTCTTCCTCCTGGACATCAGTGTGAACTTGGAGAAGGCACGCAGGTTTGCGTATTGGGTGCGTTATTGTACTGGCCACACAGAATGAGAGTCAATTGCTCCTTAATGTCAGGCTTACCAGCTGGACATCAGTGTCAACTTTGAGCAGGCATGGAGGGTGTGTGTTGGGACCCAGTAGGCACCCTCCATGCGTGCTCAAAGTTGACACACCTACCAGCTGGAGATCAGTGTCAACTGTGACAAGGCAGGCAGGGGTGCGTATTGGGTGCGTTATTGTACTGGCCACACAGAATGAGTGTCAAATGCATCCACTATGGCAGGCCTTCGTCTTGGAGATCAGTGTCAACTTGGAGCAGGCATGGAGGGGTGCGTCTTGGGTGCGTTATTGTACTGGCCACACAGAATGAGTGTCACGTGTTTCTATTATGTCAGGCCTACCAGCTGGAAATCAGTGTCAACTTTGAGCAGGCATGGAGGGGTGCGCATTGGGTGTGTTATTGCACTTGCCACACAGAATGAGTGTCAAATGCTTCCATTGTCAGGGTGTCAAGACAGATTTTGGTTTCTGCCTGCTCTTGCAGGCCACCATCGTCTGAGCTGCCAGTGTCAGTGGCTGCTGATTGTCGCGTTTTTCTTGTTACCACTGTTGACATTCCACATGATCGCGGGAGAAAAAGAGTGAGTGATTGCTGCTTGGTGTTGCATTCACATGGATGCACAAAAACAGCCCGGATCCATAAATAATTTTCAGGGCTGCCAAAGCCCATCCCAGATTAGCGTTGCTGCAAGGCTTAATCCAGTTCAAGAACAAGAGGGAGGGGGGCATCTGTAAGTACCTTAGTCGTGGTCAGAAGAGCTTGAAGCTACAGTTATAGAGTACTGATCAATGAGTGACAGTATCCCCCGGTAGTCCCCAACATAAGCAATTGTATAGTATACCGACAACCCTGTTGTAATTATCAAGACAGCGTTGTTGACTGCGTTTTGATTTGAAACCCCACTAGTACCCACTAAGTCCCCTGATCCTCCGTTCCTGTCAGGTGCCGGAAACAACATTGGTCGTGTCGGCACCATCACCTCGCGTGAGAGGCACCCTGGCTCCTTCGAGATCATTCACATCAAGGACCGCGAGGGTCCAAGTACCCAAGTAGTAGTTTAGTAGGATTTTTTGTCCCAAATATCAATTCTACATTGCGAGTGGTTTCTGTTTCCTTTCAAGCCCCTCTAACTATTGAGGTCCTTGGACCGTTAGTGGAGCCTCAATTCAACAAGAAACTGATGATGTACACGAGCAATCAATTCAGCACAGAGGAGTAGAACGCACAGAACTCCTGTTCAAATATCGGTAATCTAGGTTGGATTTGGGGACATTTTGTATTTTCCTTATTTGGGTTTATAAGGGACCCTATATTTTAAATATTTTCAGGGTGTTTAAAGGCCAACCCAGTAATGGTTATCTTCCTTGCGATCTCTAGCTTGTATACATGGAGCCTTCGACCCTAAACTCGTTGCATGGTGTTTCGCATCTGACAGCAAGCGGCCCATGTTCGCAACTATCTTTAGACCCAGGAATCCTGAAACTATTTTTTCCGAAACTCCCTTCAGAATTCCTAAGTCGCCTATCATTGTAAAAGCCCATATGCAAACTCAAAAGCCTTACGCTCTGCAGGACTCCCTTGGTCATGAGTTCAACACACGGCTGGAGAACGTCTTTGTGATCGGCAAGGCCACTGCTAAGTTTAAATGGTGGACAAGCCGGTGGCTTTCAGGGCGGTCAGACACAACATCGATACGCGCCATATGTATATATGTAAGTCAGCAAGTATGTATGTGTTTATGTATGTACGTAGATGGTTACAGAGTGATATATACATATATATATATATATATATATATATACATACATACGCACTATGAGAACACACAGACACACCACTATATATGTATACATGTATGTATACACATTTGTATGTATGTATGTATGTATGTATGTATGTATGTATGTATGTATGTATGTATGTATATATATATATATATATGTAGGTTTGTTGGCGTATTTGGGAATGAGGTATTTCCAGCTTCGAGTTAAATTTTCTGATTTACGAATTTGATGCTTAGGATGTGAGAAATCCCAGGTTTTTTCGGGTTTACGATTAGATCCCAAGGAAAGACGGCAGCACCACGACCACCGCAACCACTACTACCATTGCCGCTGGCACTACCACTACCACCACCACTTACGTACCACCACCACCACCACCACCACCACCACCACCACCACCACGACTACTAATAGCAGTACGACTTCGACGGCAATGGTAACGACTACTGCCTCACGACATCATTGTCACCTACATATATTATGCGACTACATCTACTTTCTGCTCACCGACGCATTCACGGTTCTTGGGAGTAAATCGAAATAATGTCCTTCCTGAAAAGATTCGGTGGTTCAGGCTACAGGGCTTTGGGTTGTCGGATATTGGGCTCAAGACGGCGTAGAGCCACAGCCGCATAAGTGCATGCGCTTCTGGTTCGGGGTTGGCGATTGTGGAACATGGGCTGCTGAATGTTTTTGGGTGCTCGGCCCGGTCCTTCGATCTTAGCACTTCCCCAAAGGGTCCAAGTATCATTATGGTATATACTTAGACCTCCAAACTACCCTATAAGTATATACCATAATGATACTTGGACCCTTTGGGGTCATGGGCGGACACCAATAGTTTCAAGCGTTTAGTGGGGCTGCAAGCAGCCGAAAACTCATCTTAAGCTCGCTTACGAAGCACCTGATCAGGGCAACAAGCCGTGGATCTCGCTGCCCAAGGGCAACGGCGTCAAGCATCTCGGATGTTTCGACGAAGGTTATTTTTATTGATGTCTTAGGATGTTGAGCGGTGGATTTAGCGGCTTTTGCTTGATTCGATGGTTTCAACTAGTTTGAAAGGCTTCTTGGCAGCCAGCAGGCAGCATGTCAACATCCCAGTGTTCCCTTGTCTTCGTGGCGTCCATTGGAGGGACCGGCCCGGCTTGACAAGAGAAGGCCTACTTGGAGTATCATGGGACTTAGTAAGTCAGGTTATACGTACCTTAACTGAGGTTATAAGTATAGTTAGCCTAATTTTAACTTTAGTTACTAAGTCCCATGATCCTTTAACTAGGTGCCTGTTTTCTGAAACTGATCGCAGAACATCCAAGGCTCAGCATTGTGGAGGACTGGACTTGCCCAAAGCCCACGACGCATGGGTTTAGGGTTTAGGGTTTGGGGTTTAGGGTTTAGGGTTTGGGGTTTAGGGTTTAGGGTTTGGGGGTTTGGGGTTTAGGGTTTGGGGTTTAGGGTTTAGGGTTCAGGGTGTAGGGTTTAGGGTTGAATCGAGCTGTAGCAGGGTGATAATTTGGAAGAGAGTTTTGGGTTCTGCAGTCTATGTTCCCGTGCATCGAGCCTCTGGAAAGGAACCTGTGCCTGTGCCAGGACCGATCCCAGCGTATGAGCAAGTGAGTGCCGGCGTAATCAGACTTCAGGGAGCAGTGGATTGAAAAAGCAGGTTCGGAGTTATTGAACCTGACGATCTCTGATGCGGCTGTGATACGGATGCCTGCGAAGTGCAAGCTGCCAACGTTTCGATGGTTTCGGGCTTTGGTTTTAGGTAAACCACCAGCAGCCAGTCTCTGGCTCACAGCGCAATTCTGAACCATGCTCTGCCTACAAACCCGGGAACCCTAAAAACCCCAAACCTAAAAGCCCGGGAACCCTAAGCCCGAAGCCCGAAGCCCTAAGCCCGGGAAGCTTAAACCTACTAAACCCCAAGCCCTGAAACCCCCCCAAAAACCCATGTCGTGAAGCTTCACAGGATGGTGCCCTCAGCCGGAAACTCTGAAACCCGAGCTGACAAAAGGGCCCGAGTTCCGGGAGTCTTCCGTCATGCACCGAATGACCCCCAACCACAAATCCCGCATCATATGTCACACGGGGTTGCATATGTGTGTATATACATATACATGTGTGTATATCTATATATATATAATATTATATGGTTTAGCGGACTAGGCTTTGGGTTTAAGGTCTTACGTTCAACACCTAAGCTTGCGGCATGTAGCGTTGAGGGTGTAGGCTTTAGCCTATGTTTTGCGACCCGGAGCCTTCGTTGCTGCTGCTGATGTCCTGCGATGTGCGGTGCCAGGCGAGGTGGCTCTCTTAGTTCGACCCGAAACCCTCAAAGGGTCCACGGGGGGGTTGCAGTTTAAGGTTCAGTGTTGAAGTATTTCGGGTTTGGGGTGGGCAGTCCTTCTCTGAGTTCACGTCGCGCCCGACACAACCCGGAATCCCAAACCTGAAACCCCTATTAAAGGAACAGCCCGGCACCCTAAACCCGACACTCCAAACCTGAAACTGGTAGTGCGGAGCTATGGGCTCGAGGGCTCGTGTGTTAAGGGCAGAAGGTCATCACAGGGTTTTTCCACACTTCGCAAACTGGTTGTGTGGATTTCCAAGGCACGGTGGATGCTGGTTTTGTGATACTTGGAGATTCGTGGGTCGTCCCCTAGTATGGGTGACTAAGTTTGGTTATACCTCACTTACAACCCACTTATAACTACCCATGAACCTCCAAGTAGTTATGGGGATTCTGAGGCTGGAGGTACGTGTGAGGCACCATGCTCCGTTCGCGCGGCCACAGAGTTGTCTTGACCATGGCCAATAGCGACAAGCAGGACGTATGTAGATCCGCACTTTGCCCTAAAGTTGTGTACTTAAAGGGTCACGGGACATATAGTAAGTAGGGCTATAATTAGGGCAACGATACTTATGACCGCAATTAAAGTACTTCTAACCTTACTTACTCAGCCCCCATGATCCTCCAAGTACCCGTCGGCAGATGGATCGAAAATCTTCCTCCTAGCCAGGCCGAAGCTACGCAGCGCAAAGCCGCTGGTGATCAAGTCTCCCGCCGGGAGAGATTAGGGAGTTTCCGAAAATAGGGGACCCTAATATATAAATAGTACCCAAAATAGTAGGATCCTTATTATAAGGACCCCAAAATGGAAACCCCCATTTAGGGCTTAGAAGAGTGTTGCAGCGGCTTGGGGCTCGAGGCCTGAAGGCTTCGCAGGTACTTATATTGAAGGGGTTAGGTTGCTAGGACACTCAGGTAGAGAGCTAAGGGTTGTACAAGGTAAGAGCTTAGAGTTTGGGTTTTTAAAATTATCGTTTGAGAAGGGTCTATTTGGGGTTCAGAATGGTTGAAGCCTTGCATAGCCACAAAGCCTCACAGCCCGAAGCGATTACAACAAGTCATCCAGGCACACGGCGGCCGTCAGCGCGCTCACCAGGCGCAGTCAATGGCTCTTCGGCATGCATGGCGAGCTCTCGAGGTTGGGTGCTGTCAATAACTAGAAGAGATTTCGTTTAAGGTGTACTGTTAGGGTTCTTCTAAAGGTGTCATCGCTCTCAAGGCTTTTTTGCCACAACCTTCGACATTGGCTTTGGAGAAAAGACAGGCTCAGTTTAGGACATCCTTGCCAGCGTTGGGTTTGTCGTTTGGATACTTGGAGGTTCATGGGAAGTTATAAGTGGATAGTTATAACCAATACTAGGGGACTTATAACCCCACTTATAACATCTTATAGCTAACCATGAGCCTCCAAGTGGGGTGAGCAGGGACTCCGTCGCAGCCTGCATGGATTCAGCGCCTTGGCCAAACACTCTGAAATCGAAGGACCAAATGACCCTTAAAAGTAGGGGCCCTCCCATATACTATGAATGCCTATATGGTTTATGAACCTTAAACCCTTTTAGGGTTCATTTCGTCCTTAAGGAACCGGAAGCCGCCGAGAACGGTGCAACATATCAGCAGCCCAAAGCCTCATCCCCAAACTTCCGGCTAGGTTGGATTTTGGGACATTTCGTGTTTTTCTTATTCGGGTTTGTAAGGTACCCTGTATATAAATATTTTTCAGGGTGTTTAAAGGCCAACCCAGCCAGGTTTTAAACCCCAAACATTAAACCCCTACTCCCGAAACCTTAATCCCTAAGGCTAACACCCTTAGACCTTATAAGCCCTAAACCCCGAAGCCCTGCCTTAACCCCATGTTTTTAGGGATTTTGATAAGGAGCTCATAATAGGGAACCTTGAAAAGGAAGGTTTTACAGGGCCCATGTGACCAGAACCCTATGGTACCCCTCAGTAGACCCCAAAAGCTTCAAGCCTAGCCGAGGGCGCAAGCGCTCAGTCGCTTTGGAACGGCCTTCGGCGAAAGAGGTGGAGGGCTTCGCTACGGCTGATGATATAAATCACAAATTCCTCATAGAACCCATTAAAGAAGCCCTATAAACCCTAGACTCCTTAGACCCCGAACGTGCTCCGAGAGGTTCCTCCACGGGCCCATGCATCCAAATACGGTTGATAATATAAATCCTGCACTAACATACTGCCTCACAATGACTCTAGACTATGGGAACTATGGTAAATTCCTTATCAGGGGTAATGCAAGATTTATATCAGCAACCGTATCTTCCAGGTAGAACCTAAGCCTAAAGGGCCATAGATAACTAGAATGGGACTTCGCTGAAGAGTTTAGGATAAACGAGGGCTTCGCTATCTTCCGGGCAGAACCTAAGCCTAAGGGGCCATATAAAACTAGAACAGGATTCAACTTCCTTTGATGAGGATTCCATAACAGAGACCTTTGCTTTCTTCACAGTATAACGCATTCTTCAAGTTCTTGATAATAAAATAGTTAAGTCTACTACGAAATGGCCTAAAAACCCAGCTCCGATTCTTGAGGCTCCTGCAGTAAGCCTAATGGTCCAAGTCGACCGAAGCGGATCCTACGACCCTTGAGGGTTCCTTCAAAGGGCTCCTTTAAGGGTAGTGCAAGGATGTAGGGTTCCTTTATGATGGTGTTGTGCAAGCGCCTCAAGAAGTAGTGTTTGTATTTCGTGGAGCGCCTGTTAACAGGCCTCTCGCCGGATGCGCCTGCGCTGGGCGCTGGACTCGCCGCCTGTGCCAAGGGGGCACAGTGGGCCCAGGTGCTCCGGTCCATGATTGACACTTTTCGAAAGGCAAAAGTGAATGTTGATCGAAAGGCAAAAGGGGGGCTATGGTGTTATATGACGGGCTGCCACATGGGTGTTTGAGCAGTTAGCCTAGCGGCCTCGCGCTGCATAATCTGTTGTTCCTCATTGCTGGTTTTAAAGATGTGTCAAGACGCCATATACATTATTCTAGAGGGTTGTATTCGGGGTGTCGAGGATTTATGGATGTGGTGTGGGTGCATCAGGCGCCTAAGGTCGAAGGACGAGCTAGTAAAGCTTGGGATACCCTGTTTGACGGTGTGCTTTGCTGTTGTTGTTGCTGCAATGTCCAGGTAAAGCTCCAAATCTTGATTCGCCCGAAAAGCACAAGCAATATTCAGTAATCCTGTCAGTAACATCTAAGCCACCATGGCGAAACCAAGAACACCCACAACATTTTGTCAAGAAATGCAGATATCAAACAAGTAAACACAAGATATTACTGACTTGTAAGAAATATATTCGGTCACCTTTAAACATATAAACTGCGCAAGCAACCCGTGGTAGGAAGCAGAAGGAAAACAGGACACATGCGATTCAGCAAGAAGTGCAATAGGAGTGGTGAGACTCATGCCCACAGTGACAACACTTTATATCGAAGCAACCATGGTTAGAGTAGCAAAAGCAACAGCGGTAACAGTTGCACTGATAATGCTGGTATCAAGACTTTCTTAAACGCCCCCAAACACGCCCCAACCTCGTCGAGGCCTTGCACCTTTTCACGTCGGCGGCTGTGAAAAACGCAGCCTGCTTCGGTGCCTTGGATCATCGGTGTAGGGTTTGGGTTTTAGGGTTTTGGGGTGTATGGGGTTGAGGGTTTGCGGCTGAGGACTTCTCGGTCCAAGTTTGAGGTGCCCTATGAGGCCTGCTCCAAGTATGATCCGACGTCTTAAATCAACCTTTATTTACAGGGCTCCTGATTGTGATTTCCTTAAATATGTCCTTAAACAGGTATGTAATTTAGGGTTCGGGTAGGTTAAGGGTTGGATCTTCGGGCTTGGAGTGGGTTTGGGGATTTTGGACTGGAGGCAGAGTGGAGGCTGTCCATGGTTGTGCCGATACTCCGCTTGAGTCAGAAAGCCAAAGCTCCCTGTCCCTCACGGACAGGCACGCTCCTCCACGCCTTCGCCTCGGCAGCGCGGTGGCATGAGGCATCGTAGGGGCTTAAGGCTGAAGGTAGGGTTTAGGGTTTATAGGGTTTAGGGTATAGGGTTTAGGGTATATGGGTTTAGGGTTTAGGGTTTAGTTTGACCACGGAATTTGTTTCCAGGTTTGGCTTGCTGGGTTTAAGTTGGACTCGGACCTTGAATGAGTGCCTCTGCGCGAACTGACGGTTTTAATGTCTTAGAGTTCAGGACTTCTGGGTTTAGGGGATCAGATTTGCGGTCTACGTATATTTAATTACAGTGCAAAGGTTCGAGTGGTTCCTTTCAAGGGCTCATGTACAGCAAGGAACGGATTCGACCTTCCAGTCTTTGTCCTCTTAACCCTATGGTATTTTGGCTGCGAAAGCAGACCCAAACCCTACAACACAAAAAACGCTGAGAGACCCTGAATCCTATCTTCGCTGTAGTATCCTTCTTATATAATCACGTAATTCCTTAATCGCCTTAACCCAAAACCCTGAACCGTCAAAGTTCCTAACAGCAGGCCCTTTCATCGCTTGCGGCTGCGGAGGCGCTTGGTTCCTTTACGATTTTATACAAGATTTTGGGGCTAAGAGTTTAAGGTGTATAGGGTGTTGCTCACGGCTTCCGGTCTTGGGAGTTTAGTTTTGTAACGTGTTTGGGATTTAGATTTTAGTTAAGTTTGTGTAGAGGCTGAAGGGTTTAATCGGGCTCTTGCAGTGTTTGGTAGGGTTCCCATACAACTTCTTACGGATAGGGCTCCCACAGGTTTTCATATGACCGTTGCAGGGTTGTAGCCGGGTTCCAACACGTTGTTGTTGGGTTCCTATACATGTTTAGGGCTTTGGGGCGTTAGGGCCTATAGGGCTTGGGGTTTACAGTCTGACATAACGAGTCTTGAGTCTAACCATCCCCGAACCCCGGCCCCCTTAAGTCTGACAGCTCCTAGCATGGAGATGCCATCCGCTCCACAGCCCTTACGTGTCATGGCTCGATGTCCCGGGAACAGGCCCTGGCCCCTCAACCCGGGATCTGTTGATGATATAAGTCCTGCATGACCCAAAATAAGGAAGATACCATAATCTCCCCATAGTTTAGGGTCCTTAAGGTAATGCAGGATTTAAGTCATCAACCCAGTTTTTTTTAATCATGGAAAGCCATGCCTTCCTCTGCCATCGGTACGGACGCCCGAGTGCGCCATCTAGCAACCTTCAACGTTACTTTGAGGAAGACCGCGGAGCCCCAAGAATCAACCCCTTTCCCCGAACTTTAATCATAAGACTCTTCACACGCGACTAGGAAGCTGAGAGTATGGCCCTAAGATGTCCTTGTATATAATTAAGAGGAAGATCGCGCAGCTTTTTGGTTATACTTATATACTTCCATTTTGACCATGCCCAACAGAATGTTATGAACTTTCATGTGGGCCTTAAAGAACACCAGATGGAACCTAAAGCCTGCCAAGCCAGGATCCGGATATTGTGGCCTTCAACACCACTATCAATGCCTGCCGCGCACCAAGATCCCGGGGGTCAGCGTGTGAGATCTCTAAGGTGTTGCCCTCAGCATCCAGATTTTGCTACATACGTTTTCTGCCCACAGGGAGTCTTGTTTGGTTTGTTGCGTCAATTTCATCGCAAGTATTCGTACTGCCACTACCACTCGCACTACCAGGGCAACCTCCACCACTACCGCGACAAGTACTACTGCGGCAACGTCCACAAACAGCTGCTGCTGCTGCTACTACTACTACTACTACTACTACTACTACTACTGCTACTGTCGCAACTGCAGCAGCTGCAGCAACTGTTACTCCTCCTGCGGCGGCTGCTGCTGCGACAACTTCTACCACTACCGCTAGTACCACTGCTGCTGCTACTACTGGTTCTTCTTCCCCAAAGGGTCCAAGTATCATCATGGTATATACTTAGACCCCCAAACTACCCTATAAGTATATACCATAATGATACTTGGACCCTTTGGGTTCTTTCGTAAGAGGCACCCGTGGTGCTGCATGGCCCGCAGCGCTGGGCGTCTTCGCCGAAGCTGAGGCAAGGAGGCCCTGGAGGGTTCGGCGTGCTCATACGGTTTCATGTCATCTTTGTCATTGTTGGGTAACATTTTACATTTTTATGGGTACTTAAACCCAATAAGGAATAAAAAATGTACACTTTTAATCCTATCTCAACAATGAACTAGTCATGGAGTTCTGTAGCGTTGAGGCCCTCCGGGTTTGGGGTTCATAAGGGATTGTGTAATGAGGGCTTGCGGCTATTCGGTATTTCGAGCTTTTGGTTGAAGTTTATTCTAGGATTTGGAGTCCGGATATTGAAAGCCATGTCGGGCGCGATAATTTGTTGTGGCAGTCTGCCGATGCGGCTGAACAACTCTATTCAACTATTTTTACTACTGTTGCCGTGGCAAAGGAGTCAGTTTAATCCTGTAGGGCATGATGGAGTTGTGTGGAGTGTGTCGGTGTTGACGTGAAGAGTTGGAAGTCTCCAGCAGATTTCTGCTGTGGAGTTCCTGCGACGAACTAACCGTATGCTGTGGTCACCGCGGTCCTTCTAAAGTTGATCTTTCTGGTCCTGTTTAGCTTCTTCTGCTGCTTTGCCAGTGTAGCTGCTGGACAGAGTTTTGTTGCTTAGCCCCTGAAGCCGTAGTGCATAACCGTCAACCCCGCAACCCGTAGAAAGAGACAATGACAAACGCATGAACCCCGAGCCTGGGACAAAGGTTGCCGGCAACCAGCGTCACCTACAACACGACAGCCACGGCTTGTGAGGTCCCCAGAAACAGTCTCAAAGGTTCAGGGTTTAAGCGTTCGGCATTGTTCAAGGCCGTTCATTTTTCACAGGCGTTTAGTTTCCGTCAGGTTTGTTCTCTTCTAGACGGTTTCTGGCTGTTTTGGGGTCTCAAGGTGCGATCACAAAGTCGAAGTTGCACTCAGAAGGGTGATGGCGAACAAACCCTGTTTCGATTACCCCTGCAAACAGGATCCATATAAAGAGCCCATATAAGTGCGAAGCCAAGACTTCTCAATCAGGTTCCTAGGCTACTCTTTTACAGCAGCATACGTATGTTTGTATATATATATATATAACTGTTAACCGAGGTATGATCCTTCTCAACCTTACTAGAACATTATCTACTTCTAGGCACGAAGTTGTTCTGAGCTTGTTGCTCCAGGCAGTTCAGGTGAGGATGTGGAGCTGCGTTTAGTATCTGTAGCTTCAGGACATGATGCAGCACTTGAGCACACATGAGTTGGGTTTCAGGATTGCTGGTGAGTGGTGAAGGAGGAGCAGCTAGAGGCTTGGCCGAGGTATGGTTTAAGGCTCGGCGTTTGTAGCGTTGGAGGTGCACGGGTTGCAGGTGTTGAGTTCAGTCTGCAGCCGAACAAAGCCATGATCGTGTGTCCCAAGCCCCAAGCCCAATTTAATGTCCCAAACCCTCGACCACCGGATCCTAAACCCTGCTTAGAGGATCAGGGGGCTTAGGGCAGACCTTCTCTACCTACCTTAGGTAATCGGGGTTGCAAGTACTTCTAAGTCTATAGACCCTATAAACAAGCACGTAGAGCCCCTATAGAGGCCCAAACCCCTAACCCTAAATGCCATAAGCCTATACACCTTCGGACTCAAACGACCAGGTCTCCGTGGCAGCCTCTGGCATGTTGCCATGGAGCTGGCACGGCGTGGCGAGGAAGTGGAAGCCGAAGGCGAGTGCGGAATCTCTGCAAAGTGCTACTGCTAGTCCTAAACCCTATAACCCGAAACCCAAAACCCTATATAATCTATATACTTCAAACCCTAAACCCTACAGCTCCCTAAAATCTCTAGTCCCTAAAAACCCTAAACCCCTCCTCCTAGCCCTGCTGCTGACCTGCAGGCGCCAGCCCGGCCTCGCTCGGAGCCGCCCTGGCATCGTGTGAGCGGGCCAGCCTCTGGGACAAGGCTGCCCACTCCCAAGAGGTCCTAAGTACCTGCATGGGGAATACTGACCCAAACTATGACAGTAATGATTCTTCGAACCCGTTGAAACTTTACGGGGCAAGGCCGCCCACTTTAATGTAGGGGCCTTATTACTTAGAATAGGGTCTTGGGAGATCCTTACAGGAAGAAAAGTATAGTATACCCCTAATCAAGGGCCCTGCATTACAGTACGCTGTTTAGATGTTTAGTGCTTAGGGTTACATATCAGTCTTGGAAGATTCTGTTTTGTCACTTAGTCCTGCATGGCTTGCCGCCTAGTCTTGAACTGAACTTCGAACTCGCGAAGTCTAAGACCTGTTTGTCTCTTGCTCGATTGCTTTCTGGGAGTTGGCGGCTGCGAACGCAGCGCCTTTAAACTTTAAACATCTGTAAACTCACAAACCCTACACCCCAAACCCTAAACCCCGTGTTCGAAAGACTTGTCCCTGCGTGAAGATTTTTGGGTCTCTGGGTGCGGATCGGTGCAGGCGATATGGCTTCTCTACAAAGCTGGGTCCACAGATTCCTGGGTCTCTCGGCAGGGACCCAGAGTTTTCGGTTTAGGAGTTATAAGGTTTAATTTTAGGGTTTAGGGTTGGGTGATCTTGTGGATTGTATACCCTGAGGGTCAATGTAAGTATGTAATTAGGCCCTCTAGCGAAACATAAGCTACTTGGGTACATACACTCTCATACCGCAAATATCCCGAAGTCTTTATGGGATCCGTATAAGAACCACCTTAAAGGAACCCTTTTTCAGCGCATGGGCCTCGGGTTCCGTTAGCATCGCACTGCCCCACAATTTTATTTCCCGTGGGGCGAAGGCGGAGAGATGTTGACGTCGTCCTATCGTGCTGGTCACAGCCATTGTTACCCTGAGGGTCCATGTACTCATGATAGTATGTACTTAGGCCTTCTAGCAAATCATAAGCTACCTGGGTACATACACCCTTATGCCGCAATCCCTAAGGCTCCATGTACACTTATAGTATATACTTAGGCCTTAAAGTACCTATATAGGAACACCTTTGAGGCTTAAGTATCTACTATAAAGGTACATGGAGCCTCAGGGAATGGATGTTGGGTTCCAGAAGTGTCCCGCATGAGTCGGAGTCTGTAGCATCGCAGGCGCTCAGTCGATGTCATAACAACAGGTGCCACGTTCCTGAATGAACCCGCGTACTTCAGGAACAACAGAACTACAAAACAGCTTACCCAAGCCCATCTTCAAGCCCTAAGCCTATTAGCTGCAATCCCTGCAGCATGCATTGCACCTCTCTGCACCCAAATCCCCAAACCTTACACCCTAAGCTTTACAAGCCTTAATCCTTGCTGCAACCCGAGAAGGATGTAGCAGCTGGGGGATCGGCCGTTGCCAGCTGCGGTGCCTTGCAGTGGGCGCAGGAAGCCTGCACCTCCGCCCCAAAAAAGGACCTCCACTACTTAAAAGGATCATGGGACTTAGTATCTAGGGTTATAATTAAGGTAACTATACTTATAACCCCAATCAAGGTACTTATAACCTTACTTACTAAGTCCCATGATCCTTTAAGTATGCTTTAGCACTTGAGGGTTTGCTTTGTGGGACTTATGCCTTAGGGCCAGGGGGCTTTGTGCCGGAAGTGCATGCGCGCGACGACAGTTTCAATTGTTATGTACTCCTCGGACCATGAATCCATCAGGGTAATAAGGAAGCAAGCGCTGCATGATACCTAACCGTCCAAGCCACACAGTCTCAGCATGGCAGGCTTTGGAAACCCTAACCCTGTAAGCGGCACCCGAAGGCCAAATCCTACATCCAGAAATCGTTGGCATGTGTTCCGGCGCTAGGCGAAGCCTTGAAGCCCTATACTGAACCGAAGTCTTCAAACCTCTAGAGAGAGAGAAACGGATTTATTTGACACATCAGTAGAATATAGACATAGCAATGAATGAATTCAATATACATGTAATCTCTATCTTTAGAACTGCTGTGGTCACGTGGTTTCAGCCCTTCGCTCCGTACCTGGGAACACACCCGAAACTCGAAATGCCAATGCCTAAGCAGAAACACCCAGCCCTAAACCCCGAGCCCGGACAGGATCTTAAATCCTGTTTGTATCCCCAAACCCTGCAAAATTGTAGGTTCTGACCCCTTAATTCGAGGGTCTAACCCCTAAAACAGTAGGTTTTTGGATCCCGAGGTAAACCTCAAACCGACAAGCCGTCAACCTTCAAAATTGCCGAAAGCCGAGAGGCTTTGTCTCTCTTTGAGACCCTCTCCAGCTACGCTCTGGTGGACTATGTTCCCCGGCTGGCTTCGGTGTAGGATCTTTGGATTTTGGTTGGGGCTTCTGGGTATGAGGGCCGCGTAGAGCAGTGAAGTCGTAATATTCAGGGATAGTTCCAGAATTCCCTTGGGGATTATGGAGGTTGGCAGTTTCTGTGGGTGATTGGCTTTCGAACAGGCAGGGGCTTCATACGTTTTCAAGTGCCCTCTGCCGATCCCTGGTTGTTATTCTTGCGGATTTTATGTCAAAGGGTGCTCTCCTACAATTTATTTGTAGTGATTCCCGGATTTGAATTACGGCTTTTGAGCAAGGCTTTTGCACGGCTTGGAGGCTACCGGTGCTGAGGGCAGTTCAGACACTTTTACACTCACATCACGGAAGGCACGACCTCAAGCCCATCCCCAGAACCCATACGGGAGTTTCCGAAAATTAAGAATACCTTATTTGGGGTCCTTACAAAAAGGATCCTGCTTTTTGAGGTACTAGACTATGTTAGGGTCCCCGACTTGCCTGGGCCTAAACCGACTGGGGAGGGGGGGGTTCGACAATGTAATTAAACCAGACCAGCTGTAAGGTCACCCGGAGCAGCCTAGTGACGGTTTGCCGACGGGCCTGGCAGTGGCTCCTGAGCTGAACGCTTACTTGGAGGGTCGGGGGACTTAGTAAGTAGGTAGTAAGTAGACTTATAAGTACCCTAAAATGGACCCTAATTGGGGTTATGGTAGCTATAAGTCCCTAAAATAACCAGTTACTAAGTCCCCCGACCCTCCAAGTAGCAAGCTCAGGTTAAGGCCTATAGGGCCTAGGTTTGCCGGCTTAGGGCTTCTGGTTACTGGTGGCGAGTTTCCCCTATCCCTCCAAGGACCTCATAGTTAGGGCCCTAGAACACATAAGAACCCCATAATAAGGTCCCTGGAGGGATAGGGTTCAGGGCTCTTTCGCAAGTTACGTTTGAGGGATTTCTTGGATTTCTTGGAGTTGGTGTTGTTCAATGCGGTGAGATGGTGTTGAATTGGCTTCTGTGTTTGTGCTGCTAGCTTTGAATGTTTTTGCACGAACAAACCAGAACCCAGTCTCTCTTCAAGCAGGGTGATTGTAGAACAAATTGTCGGAGGATGTCGGAGGCTGCCCGACAAGGCGGCGGGTTTTGCATTCGCGGTTCCGAGTGTGCGAGTATGGTGAAGCAGGGCGGTTATCGCATCAATTGGACAACTCACCAACCGCCATTCCACGATACTCTTGGCATGATTGCGACTGAGAAAATACTGCATCAAGCAAACATGAAAACCTTGACTTGAAGCATCCCTGCAAAACCTAAGTACTGGTGACACAAATCCATCCCAACAAACCCTTAAGCCCGCAACCCTAAACCCTATAGTAGCCTGAAGCATTCCAACTAAACCCAAGGCCCCGAAACCCGAAGCCCTTAGCCATGTAAGCGCCAATCTAAGCAGTTGGCATCCCAAACTCCTAGGTCCTAAGCCCTAAACTCGTAAACCCCAAACTTAAACCCTAAACCCCTAAGCCCTAAACCCCAATCCAAGCCCCTGACACAAGGAGAACCCTACACCCTAAACTCTAAACTCTAAACCCTTAAGTGGCAAGGACCTTTATGTACTATTTGACGGGTCTCTCTTTGTATAGTATTGAGTCTAACAAACCCTTAAAGGTTCCTTTAAAGGAGAACCCTATAGATCCCTCAAAGGAACCCTGAAGGGTTCCTCTAAAGGAGAACCCTATAGATCCCCCAAGGAACCCTGAAGGGTTCCTTTAAAGGAGAACTGCTGCGGCCCTGGCGGCTTCGCCGGCTGCGGACCCTGCGACCATCGCTCTGGGCATCGACGTCTGCGAGGTTCTTTAAGGGTTTAGGGTTCTTTCAAGGATTCCGTTAAGGGTTTGGGGATAAAGAATCGGTGTTTAGGGTTTAAGGGTTAAAGAAGGGTTTCCTTTATATAAGGGTTGAGGGTTAAAGAACTAGTGTTTATAGTTTATAGGGTTCAGGGATTTAGGGTCAAGGGTTTAGGGTTTAGAGTTCCTTTACGGATTCCATTAAGGGTTTAGGGTTCCTTTAAAGATGTCTTTCAGGGTTTAGGGTTCCTTGAAGGGTTCCTTTAAGGGTTTGGAGTTCCTTCGAGGGTTGGGTTCGTTCAGGGAGCGTCTATGAGGGCTTCTGTGGGGTGCGATAGGATTTGCACGGCTTCATGGGGGCTTCTGTGGGGTATACCGGTTCGCAAGGGCTTTGATACGGGTTTGGAAAGAGTTTTGGAAGGCCTGCATATGGGTTTCAACAAAGGTGTGTGCAGAACGTTCTCCATTTCAACCGGGTTTACTTCGGTGTGAACAGGCTTTGAATAGGGCCCACCTAGCCCGTGGCAGAATTTCATATAAGATGTTGATCAGCTGCCTTTGTCCGAGCTCTTGTTAGGCAGCTCTTTGCGGTTTTATGCGGTCCTTGCAAGGTTTTATGTGATGGCGCAGGGATTCAATAAATTTTGTAGGGTCCTCGTCAGGGACCTCAAGTTAACGCCCTGAAACCTAGAACCCCAAGCCCTGAATCCTAAGGCCCGCAGGCTCTAAACCCTGAAACCTAGACCCTCAAAGGCCCTAAGCCGCTATAGATCCTTTAAAGGAACCCTTATAGTACCCTTTAAAAGGAACCTTAAGCCCTAAACCCTGAACAACGCCTGCTAGGCAGCTCAAGCTCCAAGCTCCCACCGGCAAAGGCCTGATTCCTTTCTCTGAAAGCTGTTCTATCGAGGTTGCTTTACGGGGCTTTGGAGTACCATACCTTAATACGGTTTTCGGGACCGGTTACTGAAAGGGAGCTATGTTGAAATAAAAGTCTATACTTTCTCCCCGGTTGCTTCGAAGCCCAGCTTAACAATTCTGTAAGGGTTGCTGTAAGGGTTCTACAGAGATGGCTCAAATAGTGCCACAAGGGCTTGGGAGGATTAACTTAAACTCTGTCGAAGATCCACAGACAAAAACATGACAACTTAGTCAGGCTCCTGGAAATCCAGTCGTTTGAAGGCTAAGTCTGCAGATGTGAAGTTACTTACTTGCCTGAACGGTCCTGGGACTTGGTATAAGGAGGATTACATGCGCAATGGCGGGACTGTAAGTATGTAGTTCGTGTAGATACCTCATAGCCCAACTTGTTAAAGCTAAGTTGTTTGATCCTCCTCATGAGGCTGGTGGAGCACCTCCATTAGATATTAACACCGCCCTGAACCTTCAGCTCTAATTTGAGTAGAAAGTGGGAGGGACATGGGGGTGGAGGCTGCGGCGCTGCCTAATCCGCCGTGCTCTGGGCACCACGGCCAAAGACCCAGGCGGTGCTGCAAAAGGTCTTGGCTGACCTTCTGGATTTTTGAGCCTTGTGCTTCGCATTCTTGTTTCGGGTCTTTGGGCCAAAACCCTTTTGATGCATTTCGTTCGTGAAATTGTCGAAGCGCCTCCTGCAAAGGTCGAGTCTCCGAACTCCTGTGTTCCCCTAGACCCTGGACCCTATTAACCCTGAATCCTCAACCCTACACCCTGGAGAATGTGTTGAAGAGACACGACGCAAGGCTAATGCAAGGAGGAGTCAAGAGTGCCACAGTCGCGACACCGCAGGACCTGGCTTGGCTCCTGGTGTTCTTGTTTCAGCTAGATCTAGGCGTGGCGCAGGTTTGCCTGTGGGCTTACTTGTCCTGCGCCAGGATCGTAGAGGTCCATACGGCCAGCGTGGGTGTGAAGGGCAATCGTTGTAGAGTCAACAAGGAGCAGGGCACCATGCACATGCTGAAAATCCGGACGAAGGGTGGTAACGTGAACGACGCCAAGGCTTCGATGTTGCTGAAGACGGAAGATGAAGAGAAGGAGTTCTTGCAGAAGACCGCAAAAAACAATCTTTGCGAACTGATTGAGACACCTTCCTTCGAGAACGATGGAGTCGTTCGTGAGGAGGCTCAAAGGACTCCTGAAACGCACACGGTCGGAATATATGATTACAGGGCACACATTCCGACGTTGCCGCATAACTCACCTCGCCGACCGAAGCCCACCAGAGGCAAAGGCCGATGTGCTCAAGGACGACTGGTTATGTTGTCGCAATGTTCATGGCGCTGCCACTGTAATGTGGGGTTATGTTGATGCAAACTTTGTGGCGGCCACTGCCAAGAAAACAGGCAGCATGGTCCAAGTCGAGCTTGGCGCATCTCCTGCACGTCGAGGCCACACGGTCGCCGAGTTGCGAGGTCTGTCGTGAGCATTGGGCGTGATGTTCAACATGGTGATGTCGGAAGCAATGGCATCAGGGTCCGCGGTGAGCTTCCATGTCTACAAGGACAGCAACTGATGTTGCAAATTTCGATCGCGGCGGGTTGATGAGCTTCCAGAGCCAGCCTCTGGGTGCTTCGGCTGCAGAGCTCGCAGCAAAGACTCTGACCCGGGAGATTCTGAAACGGAGCACCCGGCGAGGGAAATCTGGAAGTTCTATGGGGGAAGCCCAACCGAGGGAATAAACTGGACGCCTCTGCTGAGAAAGACAATCCGCAGTTGGAGGGGTTGCAGTCATGGACGGGCATTTTCCGGGGCTGCAAATTGTCGGAGTTGTCCATTCCTTCCACGGCGTCTGAGCAGGAGTTTCAGGTCTTTGCCGATGGAGGGTTGGGGGCTTGTGATGATAAAGGGAGTCCTGAAACAGACGTGGGTGATCCATCGAAAAGTATGATCCCGTGGCACGAAGCGTCCTCATCAATGAGCACGAGGAACGACCAAGTGATCTCTTGAGTGCACCTACTTTTGTTCTAGGGTGGTTGCGTGCTCGCCGAAACGGGCTTTCGTGAGCCGTTACGCAGACTGGCCTTTAAAAAAACCCTAGACCCTATGAGCCCTAATTAAACCCTGAAGCCTAATCTGTTCACACTAGGGCCGAGTGAGGGCTGAACGGCCTTTAAGGTTCCGGGTCTTCTATTTAGAATGGGTTTTTGGGGATACCATACCATAATGATATTGAAGAACACCCAAAACCTTATTCTGGTTATTAAGGCACCTACATGATTTAGCGAGGTAGATAAAAGGATGTTTTTTGATCATGGGCTTCGGGCTTCGAAGGTGTGTAAGCAAGGCTTGTTCAAGTATAAACACCGCGATACAGTCTTTGGGTTCTTCGTAGTTGAGTTTGGAGACTTCTTGTTTTTGTGGAACCGTAAAACCGCCAAAAAGATTGACTAACTCCCTACAGAAATCCATGTAGTGTCCTCTTATCGAGCCCGATGAACCCGAATCAGGGGCGCTAAGTAAACGGGTTTTTTTGCCGCAGGTGCCATTCGCTACGGCGAGCTGGTGACGGCCTCCGGCACTCTCCAGCTGGGCGCGCCGCTGCAAGCCGCAACAAGTGAATGAGTTTGTGTGGTACTGGGTTCTGGAAGGGTACCAATAGGTTATGTACGGGGTGACGAGTACGACGGGTTCATGTGGGCCTGTATGTCGTGACTAAAGCATACTAAAGCTGCAAAGTGCTCAGAAGTTGTCGATGGCTCCTGAATTTCTGACAAATCTCATAGTTCTTTGCGGATGGTGTTATGGGGACACTTGAATTGTGAAGCCTTATTGCCTTGTTTGTACGACTGTACGGTGCACGAGTCGGTAAGCTCCTGCCCTGGTCAATAACTTCCCTCCCCTACTGGGGATATGGATAGATATCCGACGATTAGGCCCTTCGAAGGAGCTTTCTCGTGCAGCTTTGACTTACATTCCTCAACCCCGAAGTGCTTTAGCACAAGGTTTCTATACCCTTAGAGTCAACACCGTTTGGAGACTGTTCCGTGGTGCTTAGTAGGGAATGGGGGAATGGATCCCTATAGCAGTCCTTATATCATCCCCAAGAACAGTCCCCATAACCCATTCCCCCATTCCGTACGAAGCACCAGACAGACTGTGTCAAATTCAAAGCCAGCGGGGCATTCAGGATTCTGGCCGGTCGGCGCTTGCTGGATCGCCGCATTTACGAAGTGGTGCAGAGCGCTCTGCACAGGCGCATGCCACAAGCACGTAGGACCTTGGGGTCTAGTAGGTAAGGCTTTCGGGCTTCGTAGATTCTTGTAGGTTTGTTGACGGTCTTTTTCGAAGTATGTTCTCTTTGGTGTTTGTGGCCCGTGGGGTAAATTAGAATTCGCAATTGACATGAGGTAAGGGGTTCTGGCGGTTTTGGGGTTGGGGGTTGAGGGCTTCAAGTTTCATGTTTTGCGGTATACGGTGTGTTCAGAGTTTCGCTGGTCCCGTGGTCAATAGAAAGTGCTGGGTAATGAGCATGCATAAGTTGGCATCCAGGCATGGCTTTGGACTGCCGGATAGTATGAGCAGCTGTGGTGTCGGTTGGGGTTGCTGCTACTACAGTTGCAATATTCTGCAGGGCTCCGATTCTTCTTGAGAGACGGAACACTGAATCCGCAAAGTTTCTACATCCAAAAAAACACCCTAAGACCCCAAACCCCAAACCCTTCTATGACCTCATGGCAGCCCTTATAAAACCCTAAGACCCTATGACCTCATGGAGCCCTCATAAAAACCTTAGTCCCTAAACCCCTAGACCCTCAACAGCTTAACCCTAAACCCTTAAGACCCTCATCAGACCCCAAACCCCTCTGTGACCTCATGGAGCTCTTATAAAAGCCCTGCCATGAAGCCGAGGCCTAGTCGGGAAGCGGCGAAACAACAAAGCCTTCTGGCGGAGGCCTCCAGCGCTATAGGGTTACATATGTGTTTATATGGGGTCTACTACACAAAACAAGGATAAACAAGGCATCTCATTTTTTTTTTTTTTTTGTATATGTGCCTTATATAAGGTTTATCTGTAAAACATAGTAAGGAAATCTCCTTGTCCGTCGCGAACTTGGAATGTCGATCCTACTGTTGTTGTTTAGACTTGGGCTCCAGATCTTCCCAAGCTCCATGACTGCGCCGTTGTCTCTGCCATGTGTAGATTTGTATCTTGAGGCCTTCGGGGGTGAGGGTATCAAGGTGCAGGCATGTGCATCACACCACTGAATTAACATATGTTCGTACACACATGTATACAGAATATGTATATCCATGTGCATGCCAGTCTGCCAAAGGAGGCAAGCACTGCACCACTCATCCCCCCAGTCCCATGAGCAGAGAAACCTTTGAATCCCAAGCCCTCTGCATCCTTCAGGCCTCGAAGCTCGAGTCCCCCAAACCCAAAGCCCTGCGAAACCCTGTAGAGCCCAGGTTCCTGAGTAGCACCTTTTTTCTGAACCCCGTATTAAAGTAAATCCGAATAGAAGGAACAACAGCACCCTTATCATTAAGGGGCTATTGGGCAACCTAGGAACCCTATTACAGTGCCAGAAAGCCCACACGCACGGCAGAACGAATTATAAATGAGACAAAGACGGAGGATCCCTTTGGTTTTCCTTGCGGGAGGTATCCAGCCCTGGGCTGGCTTTTGCCCGGCCACGGGGCAGCAATCCTAGGCGTCGTTCAGGGTCTAGGGTGATGGCGGCCTTTCTGTAGCCCCCGCACTTGTGGGGGCAAAACCATCTACTGTAAAGGCGACCAGAGATTGCATTCGCCATAGGGTATACGGTTTAAGTTCAGCGAGTGATGTCTACGGACCAGGAAAGAGGTCTTGGGATTGGGGTTGAGGGCTAAGGCTAAGGGGTCCTAGGTCCTGGCGAGGGTTGATTTTTCAGAGTTCAGAGTGTGCACACTCTGCAGGAACATTTGCATCCTGGTTTTAGTCAGCTTCTGCTCGAGGTGTCATTGCACCTTAGCTTGTGCTTTTGATTCAGCTCCGTTCTACTTGTCTAAAGTCTATTAAGACGCAGCCCTATGACCCAGGTAGACCTTGATTGTGTTGCTTCACATGACGAAAGTCTGAGCTCTCTCAAAAAAACACAATGCGCATCCGCAAACAACAACTTCCGCAATGAGCGCCATTTGCCGGCCTACGCCCTATGCAACTGCCTGCAGCCAAGGGTCTTGCTGCCGCTTCCAATGCACGCCCGCACGGTGCATGTCCGCCCGGAAAAACCCAGCGTGGGTTGATTGTGAAGGATGCTTGATGGTTTCGGGGAGGTCCACACACGCATATTGTGCTTGATTTTCAGTCTGAAGCTACGGGCACCTCGAAGTAAGAGCAACATAGATCAATGCAGATTTGCTATGTATTAAATGGTCTGTGGACAGTGCAACCAGTTGGGTTTGTGATTGAGGTAAGTAAGATCCATCTGTGGGCTCGCTGCGATCAGGGCGACGATCTACGATGATAGGAACTATATCAAGAGTACCTTAGCAATGACGCGGAACAGCAGGGGGCTTCATGCAATGCAGGTCGCATCTACTAGCTAATGCAGATGTGGTGTTGTCGCAGGTTGCCATTCGATGTTCAGCTTCGCACGAAGTATCCAGACGCGAAGCTTGCCACGGATGAAGCCTGCAGTCACTCTCTTAGTGGTGCAAATACCCAACTTCTTCAATGGATAGGCTCTCACATGGTAATTAGGCTTTTTCTCAAAGTTGTAGCTTTTTATGCTAATGGCTATTTGGGAAGCAGTGGTTTTCAGGGTGTTGCTCTCTGCAGCATGTCGGCTCGTCCACACCACAGCCCTCGCATAGATTTGTAGCGTCGCGTTGCCATGATGATGCGGCCTCGAAGCACACAAGACAATTTTTCAGCCGACATCTCTGAGCCAAACACACACACACACACACATTCTTTCTTGCAGCCTTTGTGTAGGGGTCAGGATGATATTTTGTCACCGTCTCCATGATGACTGATGATGTACAGTACAGCATCGGACCATGCAGCTCAGGTGTTCCGGAAGCCCCGGACTGATACCTCACCCCCGCCTTAGCAGTCATCAGGGCTTCAGGGGCTGTGGTCTGAAAGTTCAGGGTTTAGGGGTTTGGGCTCTTTAGGGGTTTCCTCCAACCAATGCGCCTCCGAACGCCATGGCTGGAATGGTGCCGTACCAGGAGCCACGCTGCACCCAAGCCCTAGACCCAATCCCAATCAACAAATTTCAATCCCAAAGCCGGAAACGGTGAATACATCAGCAGAAGCTGTTGTAGGCTCCCCAACTTCGAAGTGAAGCCAAAAGGCTCAATAGGAATCTTGGTTGGGCAGGAAGAACCAGAATCTCTCCGAGAGGGCAAGAGCCAGTTCTCATATACGTTCACCAGTAGCCACTTAGAAACGAAACTGAAACGAGCCCAAAAGTCCCCATGTCGCAACTTCGGGACCCCTAAAGCCAGCCGAATTGTGTCGGCCCAATCTGAATCCGTGGGATTTCGGGCTAGATGGAACTCACAGGTTTAATCTATTTCCTTTTACGGTCTCAAGGGTAGTGGCGACTGCAATCGTCAGCTGCCGGGCTCGAGGTTCGTCTGCTTACACGCATGTCCCTGGGATGGGCACGGGCCCTTGCCGGCATGCTACGAGGTGCTCGGGCCTGCCAGCGCTTACTTGGTGGAAGACGTTCATTTGCTACACTGGCGGTCCGAAACGCTGCAACGAGTGTCCGATTGCTACGTGACGGAGGGCGCCAGCTTGTCACTTCTTCTTACCTGGTGTCTTATGGGGATTCGCGGGACGTCGTGAACCAGAAGAACCGGGAGTTGCGTAGCCGGCTCGCCTCAATGCCGTGGCCACGACTCACATCCATTGAATTGGCGGGCAAGGATTACGCCCTCCCTTGGAAGTTTAGCAAGGAGTTTGTTGACACAGATGCGCAGCGTCTCACAAACAGGGAACAGAACACGGAGTACCTGGCCGGTTTTTTCGACGGGGATGGATGTGCCAGATGTACTACCCCTCTAACTGGTGTCGAGCTGACTGTTGAACAAGCCGTTGATGGGGCTCAGGTCCTTCTACAGTTTGGAAGCACTTTTGGTGGAAGCATGCGTCGTCAACGCGATGGGCACGGACTTGTAAAGCCAACTATGGCTTGGACCATCTTTGGAACCACTGCTCGTGACGCTGCAAGCCGCCTGGCCGAGTGCAGCATCACCAAGAGACGCCAACTAGAAATTGTTGCGAACTGGCCTGAAGCTGCAGCAACCAGAGAGTCCTGCGACAGAGAGCTGAGAATGCTCAAGCGCTGCGATTCGGGCACAGCCGGCAATGTTTCCTGGAGATACTTCGCTGGTTTCTTCGATGCTGAGGGCTGCATTAGATGCCCCGGGGGCGAGTGTCTCCAACTGCGCGTCGGACAAAAGTACATCACAGTGCTGAACTGCCTGCAAACTTTTTTGCATCGCGAGATCGGCTCGCAGGGAAGCATCGTGAAGTGCTCTAGATCCTACTTTGAGTTGATAGTAAGCACCACCTCAACGTGCAAACTCATCCTGGAAAAACTGCTGCTGGTTGGTATGGCTCGGAAAGCTGCTCAAGCAGAACTGGCCTTGAGTCTCAATCGTCAAAACACAGCGCAAGTTCGGTCTGCCATGAAGAAGCTGGTTGGCAATCAGATGTTCGGCAGGAATCTGGACGGTGATGGGCAGGAGAGAGCCAGAACGATCAGAAACGCACAACAGCAGGTGATGCGCTTGAGGCAACGGGGGCTGCAGGAAGCAGCGGATGCCTTGTTTGCACAAGTCGAGGTATTGAAGACTGAGCATGGCTTGCTGAAAGCGCAAAACGAGAACCGACAGCTGCAGGAGTACATGCACAAACTCGAAAGCATGACCGCTGATTTCCAAAAAGTGTGGTGCCCAACAGCTAGATCATGGCCCTATAGATCTTATGCCTATACCCGCAGAAGCACGTCACCTCCAAGACGCCAAACACCGCAAGAATGCATGTTGGAGGCTTCAAAACGTGGAAAGCCTCCTTGAGGCCACAGATATATACCTAGAGTCCTAGAGCAGCCTTTCGTTCTCAGAAGTGCAGTTGGCGCGAGTATCTCCCGAAGGACCATGCAGAAATGGTGCCTACTTGGAGGGTCGGGGGACTTAGTAACTGGTTATTTTAGGGACTTATAAGTACCATAACCCCAATTAGGGTCCCTTTTGGGGTACTTATAAGTCTACTTACTACCTACTTACTAAGTCCCCCGACCCTCCAAGTACCCGAAACAATCAAAAGTGCAGGAGCTCAGGTGTTCACAGAGGCCTGGTCAAACCTTGAAACATCTCATGGAAACTCCAAGCCGCACCAAAGAATCCCCTGGCAGACCGGAGAATTCCATAGAAGCCCGTACACATCCTTGCTAGAAGTGCGAAAATCCACACCGACGTTTGCCGCCCTGCAGCCCAGCAGATCCGAATCCGCCGAACTTTAAAGCCCAGAGCCTATTTCTGAACGCGGAAGGAGCTCCTATCGCTGCTTCGGCGGCGCGAGGACCATTCGTTTGCGTGTAAGCAGCGTTCGCGTTTCTGTCTGCTGATATCAAAGATTCTCGCTTATCCGTGGTGGCTTATTGTGCTTTGCTGGTTTAATCGGCTACAGCACCGAAAGCTTCAGAAAATCCCCGACCCATGAACAGTGTGACACCAGTTCCCCTATCGTGATTGGATTGCTTTCTCCACTTCGCCCTTCACTGCGGGGCTTAGCGTTTGGGGCTTCATAGGCTTGATAGGGGTTCAGGAGTCCGCAGTTGAGGTAAGAGGTCGTGTGCTCTAGGACTACATGTTCAGGATTCAGGATCGTGTAAGGATTTACGAGCCCAAGAGTTCAATTTAGAAGCCGGAAATCCTTTATGTCCAGGCCCCTATATTCAGCGCGGATTAGGGCTAGGGTTATGGGCTGGCCGACCAGGACGAGCTCCGTAGCCTCCGCGAGGAGCGCACCGCGAAGGCCCGTGAAGGGGCCCTGGAGGCTAAGGTTCTTAGGGTTGAAGCTTGCAGTTGTCAGGGTTTGGCAAGCTTCAGGCTGAACAAGACCGAAGGCGGACTGCAGACGAAGTGGCCATCCTGAAATCCTAAGCAAGCGTGCTTGCTTCTGCATGGGATTCTGTTTCCAGCCTTACTGCGTGATGTTTGGCGTTTTGGCTTTGAGGCGCAAAGCAGTGTGCCCGTAATCCGAACTCATAAGAACGTGGTTGGGTTGGGGTCTATATACTTTGCTTGGCAGGATGCAACCATCGACTTCCTCAAGACAAAAATCGCGAGCTGGCTGCAAGGAGACGCCGAGGCTTCGGGCCGTTCTCGTCGCTGTTATTTGACATTCGCGGTCGTCTTCACTTCATCTATGATACACCCGTTTGTTTTCTGCACTATTGATATTCACTGTTGTCACCATGCGTCACCTTTCGTTGGTCTACGCATCAGCAGCAGCTGCAGCAGCAGCAGGAGTAGTAGTTGTCGTCGTCGTGGTCGTCGGGTGGTGGTGCTGCTGCTTCTGCTGCTGGAATTCGCAGTGGATGCACAGGGGAAGCTGCAGTAGGAGTTGTTGAAGCTGATCGAAGCTGGTTAAGTATTCAAAGGTTTGGAGTGAGGTAGAATTAAGGATAGGGTGCAGTCTTTGTTTGATTGCTCCGCACGCCTTATTAGAGATTCACAGGTCTTGTTCCACTATCTCTTGCCGTCCAGGGTGGGACTGAATCCGCAAATTGAAATTCAGCTAAATCCCTGAAGCCTTCAGTCCTGGAACTCTGACTGCAAAGCCAGACCAATGTTCCCACCCATCTTTGCCACTCCTGCCCCCCTAAACTTTAAATCGATAAAACTCCACAGACGTCCCAATAGCTCCCTTGAAGGGACCCTGTTATAGAACCCCCAAATAGTAGTCAAAGGGTACCCTTAAAAGGGAAGGCCCTCTCCGAAGCCCAGGCCACTCTGCAGAATCGCCTTGCTGTCGAGTCCCTTCAGGGCTCCGGCGAGGGCGAGGCCTGCCCCCGAAGGGTTGCAAACAAACGGTTTTAGTGATTTAGGGTTTGGGGGATTAGGGATCATAGGGATTGTAGGAATTAGGGTTTAGGGGTTAAGATTAGGATTTAGGGTTTAGCGTCTTAGATTGACTTCAAGTCTGTATAAGGTTTAGCGTCCAGAATTTGTGTCGCGTTTATGTGGGTTTAGAGTTTAGAGTTGAGTTTAGTTTGGTTTGGGTGTTGCTTTCACGCAGGGTCTGGAATTTAGGACTCAGGTAATCACTGGTTTTACGGCGAATTGCATAGCTCGAGCTCGGACTTTTTATTGCCTGGTTTGCTACAGAGCTGCTGCCAGGTGCAGCGGGTCTTGAAGTGACCGCATTCGGTAGCAATGAACTGCAAGTGTTGGATGCACAGGCGTCGACACATGGGATGTAACATGTGTAAATGTATATATGCCCGAATCCCAGAACCCACGCGGAAATGGTCCAACAGGATCTCCAGCAAAGCCTGGAGACAGAGAGGCGCCGCAACGAGGCGCATTTGGGTCAAAGTCGTATGGTGTTCAAAGTATCGACTGCGATCCAAGTGCCGGATTAGGCGGGATGCAATTCAGGTTGACAGTGGGTTCGAGATGAATAGACCTATAGACATGCTCCGCTATCCTTGCGCCCTAAGCGCTGAACCCACATCCAGAATCCATAAAGCCGAAGTCCATCAAGGCTCAGCCACTTGCCACCTTAGTTTGGTTGAAGCTGCAAACTCGGAACCCTGAGTGTTGCTTGGGTTCAGGGTTTCGCAGCTAGGGTAGTGCTATTTACTGACACCCTGGACCACCCGGAAGTCCTTAAACAGAGGGAAGCAAAACCCCACACTCGCCTCTAAACCCAGGGCGACGCGTAGGAAACCAACCAAAACCCTAAACCCTACACAGTTAGACTCTTCAGCATCCTAAACTTTCAAACCCCCAGGATCTCCATCGCTCAGCCCCCTCAGAACCTCACCCAAGACACCCGCTTTCAACTTGAGATGCAGCCCCACCGAAAACCTTAAAGCTCTACAGAACCCCGATAGCTCCTCAAGTCACCCATCTTAAACCCCCTTTTAGATCGTAAATGACCAAATCACCCCTCGTCAACCCTTTTTTTGAAAAAACACTAAGCCAGGAGATGTCCAGGGAGTTGCAACACGCAGCCCTGGAAATCGACGACTTGCGGACGGAGCTCAAGGAGGCGGTGAACTATCGAACGAGTCTAAGGTTTTGCGTTTAAGGATTAAATTAGGGTTGACGAAGAGTGGGTAAGGAGCTCAAAGGGTTTGTGTACGATCCAGGATATGGCCCGGATGTACCCAACTCTTGTATAGGACTCTTGAGGACTCTAGGATTGATAAGCTTTATAGATTATCGGGTGTAGGTCTGCTTGATGGGGGGGGTGTCGGCATTCGGGTCTGGGGTTGAGGTTCTTGGGTTTGGAGTGTTTTGTGTTTCATTGACGGGTAAGTCTTGAAGCGTCATCCCGATTGTTGCCTTAAGTTGGGACTCTTACAAAGGCTTTGTTAGCTGACGACTCTTGCTTTTGCCATGGTAGTGCTGCCACATCCCACTATCCGCATACTTGTCCTGTATTTGAAGTTATGGCCTACTTAGAGGATATGAGAACATGGTAAGTAGGTGGTTAGTGCCGGTAACCGGGTTAAAGTATAATGAACTATAGTTACCTTATATTATATTCATTATTTCTACATGACCGAGTCCCATAATCATTCAAACCCTGAAACCCTTACGGTACTTTTTCGGGACCCTCGTAGAATCCGTGCGAAACCCTGAAGGAGCCCACAAGGCTCTACAACAACTCTTTAGCACCGGAGATGCACGATAAACCCTAAAACCCTGAACCCTAAGTTGCGCGCAAGCTGTGCTTTTGGTACCGAAAGGCTCGGGCAGAGGTTGCTTCGCTGCAGGCAGAGATGGAGAGACTCTCCTGCAAGATGCTGTCTATAGTTTTGAGGGTTTGGGGCTCCCTTTTCCTAAGGGTTTCAGCACCAGTTCTGATGTGGGTCGGTTAGGTTTTAGGCTTTCCGGTGTGTGGTTTTTCAAGGCTTTGCAGGGGTTTAGGCCTTCAGAGTTTCGGATTCCGCCCTCCTGCTCAGGAAATCCGTTCTGCATGCCAACAGCAACGAGAATCACAATGGCCTCGAGCTTAGATTTAGTGGCTCCAGCGGCTTCAGAGCTTCTTAGGTTCTGGGGTGGCTGGGGTTCAGGGTTCGGGTTTCGGGCCAGTAAATGTCCGATGCAGGAATTGCCAAATTTTGCGGAAGGCTGTGCACATCGCCCCGATTCGGTTGGTGTGTAGGCATTCGAGGCCTTCAAGGATATTTTCCTGGGGGAGCACAAGAAGAGCAAAGAGTACTCTTACGGCGAACCTGCTTGCGTGTTTGTGTTATCTTACACTGGGGCTTGGGTTTGAAAGGCATAACTTGCAAAAGACTGCAGCATGGCGCCCTAGACCCTTAGACTCTTGAGGTGTGCTGAAAGAGCACAACGTCCTCATCGCCAGTGTAGAGGAGCTGGAGCGCGAATTAGCGCAGGAGCTGCTGATAGGTTTCTTCAGCTATGACCTCCCAAAATTCAAGTCGGTGATCTTTGCTACACGCACGCAGCGATTACAACACGGCTTGTAAGTCCCCTGACGCAAAATCTGTTTCGACAGCCAACTATTCGCTGTAACTGCTTGACTGCTTGTGGGAATCTGCTTTCGGGTTCTGCTTTCGGGTTTCGTAGCGGCGCGGCTTGGGCTTCTCGCTCCAACTTTGAGGTAGAGTCTGGGATGTTCAGACCTGACCCTCCCCCTAATCCCAAGGCCTGTGGGGTTATAGGTCCTCTTAATATGGGTTGTAACCCCAGCAGTAGTCCAACTTGTAACCCGACTTCTAATTCCAATTGAGTTTTTTTTTGGTTTGGGGTTCAGCGCTGCATGTGCAACAACGGGCACCGCATTCCCGCGGCAGCCGGCATGACGAAATGTAAGTTCGTTCCTCTGCAGGACACGAACAAGGCTCCCGAGGACGCCCTTGCATGTTTTAATACTTGATATCATCTGTTGCGTAGTTACATCAACCCACACCGTGGGAATCGATTGCCGAATCGATTGCATGGCTGTAGGCATTGAGGGCGCCATGCCGCCGGAGTTGCTTGCCATTGCTGGGTCATGCTCACCCGATCTCTCTCCAACCTCCGAATAACTCGGTCGATGTAATCTCAGTCTTTTCTTAGTGACAGGTTAGTTTACCTTCCAGCGGTGCAGAGAGGCTACAGCGGAAGGTTTGAGACCAACAGGATGCAACTACCAATGAAGGGCATTGACAATTGCAACTTCTGGTTAGGGCATTCTTAGTTGCACCTGTACTGTCACGGAGCTAGTCACCATCATTATCACAAGCATCATCTTCTTCATCACCTTCATGGCGATGCTCATCATCATCATCACCATCATCATCACCGTCAGCACGATGCTCATCATCAGCATCATCCAGCCGACACAACATGCTTTCAGCTTAAGCCCTATAAACCCTAAGCTCACAAAAGATTCGAGGCGTATTCTGAAGCTGGCTTTGTTGCCATACAGGGGCTTCGGGTTTGGAGTAATACTTCTAAAGCAGTAGGTGCAAATCGGGCTCCTGCTCCGGAGATGTTTCCTAAACAACTTACCGTAATCTCCTTGATACGGTCTGGTGTAGGTTCATGCCTTGCGTCTCTGCTGATCCAGGATCCGGGCCCGGGGTTTTGGGGTCATGATGCTGAGGAGGTGTAGCGGTCAGGTGTAGGATCCGAGAGTTGAGGCCGAGTTAAGGAACCGTCCTATGTAGGTCCCTCCCCTCAGCACAGAGCTCATAAACGCAACAAAGAAGCCGGGAGCCCACCCTGAACACTGAAGCCGAAGGTACAGAACCCTAAAAGTGCCACGGATTCAAGAAAGGGCGCATGTCAACTAAAGCAGAACCCTAAGACCGCAACTAGCAAAGCCTACGCTCCTAAAGCCCTCGAACCACGGAACTCGAAGCCTCTTCCCCGAATTCGGGGACTTCTTGGGCTCATGGCGCTGTGGGCCTTCTTCGGCGGCTCCCTTCTAGCGGCCGGGGAGCCCAGGGTTTTGAGGGTTTTGGGTTGGAGCGAAGGAATAACATGACTGGTCATAAGCAGTTACCCATAGGCTCCATAGTAGTTCGTTTTTGGCATTACCTAAGAGGGTTCTCAATATGAACCCCGAAAAGGAACTACCTATAGTCTCCATTGTAGGATCCTTTTTTGGTTAACCACCTACAATGGAGACTATAGGTAGTATGGAGCCTTTAGGTAGAGAAACAGGAAAGGCAGTTAACACCGGGGCATGTTGACAGTTTCTTTTCTGCTGCAGCTGTGTCCAAGTGTTTGCAGAAACCTGGTAGCACATGAACATGTGATCCAATCAATTTCATAGACTGGTTGTATCCAGGACATCCGAGCGATGTGACAGCTTTACAGTTCACATTCGAGTCTAAAACAGTATCGAGCTACATCCACCCTGAACTTGTCAACGCGGAACGTAGAGTCTTCAGCTTAACGTGCCGATGCCTGAACACAAAGACGCTAAAGCCTTAGAAAGCTCATGGGCCCGTATGATCAAACGCCTAAACCGCTCAAACCCAAAATCCTACCCTAATACACCCGATAAACCCCACGAGATCAGATCAGACGCGAAGCGTGAAGCGCACAACCCGGACCATGCATAGCCTAGGTGCTTTGATCAAGTTTGAAGCTCCAAGTAAGCCCAACATCCCCGTTAACAAAAACAAGCCTTCCATAAAACCTTGTGAAACCTATGGAACCTCTTCTTGGCAAGGCATGCTTTGTGCATCTTCACGGGCCAGGGAGAGAGGTCCGCAGGAGCACCGCACTCCCAAAAAGACCCAAAAACTGAAGGCCCTCATCGTTGAGGGCTGTCTTGAAGCGAAGCCCCCTGATTGATTGACTGGCTTCACGAAAGAAACAACTCGGCGTGCCAAAATGATTGGTTTCTTAGAACTGGGGGGGCTCCTTTGTTTTTTATTTTGATGGGTGGGGCGTCTCTGAGTTGAGGTTCCTGCTGTTCGGGATCTATATTGAGCTAGGAGTCCCAGCCTCCAGGACAACTCTTCGAAGCGACAGCGTGGTCTCGCCCGACAGACCTCGGTGCGAGCCCGAGCATCTGAGAGGATTTGCGCAGAGGGCGAGTCGTCTTTGTCATAGTTGGGGAATATTTTTACATGTTCATGGGTACTTAAACTTGATAGGGAATATAGTTTTAAATGTTTAATATTCCATAGCTAGTCTCGTTTGTGAGCTAACTAGTCTGTTCTTGCTTTTGAGCTAAAATTTGCTAAACCCCAAATCGAGGCGACCCGAAGGCCCCATAACTTCTTGGCACAATGTCTGCACACTTTACCCATAGGCCCCATAGTAGTTCCTTTTGGGGATTACCTTATAGGAATCTAAATATGAACCCCAGAAAGGATTTCCTATGGGGTCTATGGGTAGAGTGCCCAGAATCTTTGCGGCCCGGAGCCGGCGATTTCCTTGGCTGACGGAGTCCGGATCCGCCCTCGAATAGAACTTCCTGGTTGCGAGATACCTTGTGTCCTCAATCTCCCTTAAACGAGGGGCAGTACGTGGTGGTCCTGCAAGAAGAAGCTAGATGAGGCATTAGCGAACCGACCTACAAACACTGAAACGGTGGTCGTCGGATCCGCCGACCGTGGCAAGCAGCAAAAATTCAACAAGCTCCAGAAATTCGAGAGCTTTAGGGTTCAGGTTTAGGGTTTAGGGATTGCAGTTTGTTACGCCAGTCATTTTATAATCGCCGAAGGTTTCAAACGGAGACTAAACGCTGAACCGCAAAGCACCTGGTGCTGTTTCGATTTGACTGCGTGTATGCCACATGATGTAAGATGTGTGTGTAATACACTGCTAGCCACCGAGCTAGACTTGACCTCCAGCCGGACAGGTTGCGCGAATCCTGGAAGAACCGTGTCCAAAAGGCACATGCCGGGAAATGTCGTGGGTACATTAAGAGAGTTTGGACCATGCGCGCAAAAGTCAGAGTTTCAGAGTTGATATTACGAGTCTCAGCGGCATAATTAAAGCAGACGTGTAACTTTTTGATAACCGTCGCACTGACAATGCGACTTTCATATCAGGGACAAGTCAAGGGCAGAATACCATCCCAAAACACTGAGGCCTACACAGACCTCTACCGTAAATTATAAGTCCGAAAGCACAATCTTAGTAGTGATGGCTTATGCACAGCCATAGCTACGTGGGCCGGCGGTATTTGCGAGTCTTTCAATCGTGGCATTCCGGGGTTTAAGGGCTTGCATAAGGTCTATTACAGCTAGACCCCCCAACGACCCTCTAATATACCCCAAATGCCCACCATTGAGGGCCATAAGGACTCTATTAACGGGCCCTTTAAGGGAAGTCCAGGCAGCTTGAGGGTCTGACCTCTGCCAGCGGCCTTTGGGACGCCAGTTGGCTTGTCTCCTCCGACAGCGTTTTGGCTGGAAGAGCACGGTCCATGCCACAAAAAGGTTTTACTTGAGGAGTACTTGCAGATTTGAATGCGGTTCTGTGCAAGTTTATGGGCTCGTAGAGGGTAGCAGGGCGAGGGAGTGCAGTCCGTGTATGTTTTGCTATGGTAGTCCCTGCATTTCATTCCAGTTGTTACCTGAGCAAACACTAGATCTCCAAAGCCGTAAACCCAACCCCCAAAATCCAAAATCCAAAACCCTACTGAATGGATCAGGGACTGAATTGATAGGGCTGCAGGTCAAGACCAAACCAAACGAGACGGTTACCATGTCATTTAGCTGCTTATAGGTCCGATTAAGTACTCGCTGCAACCTCACGGACAAGATCTCCTGATGCGCAAAATGGCCCCCTGTTCGGGTGTTTTTGGTTTTCAGCTCAAAACCTTTACCCATACTCAACCCGAGAACCCACTGCAGGAAAGAACAACAACCTAAGACTATATACCCTAAACGCGTACATCTGAACGCATCTGGAACGCAGGCGGAGCGGCAGGAGTCGCTGCAGGAACACTTCCGGTCGGTGCAGCGCCGTAAGGCGTTCAGGGACGGTTTAGGGTTCGGGGTTCGGAGTTGTGTCTTCACGGGTTCGGATTCGGGTTTTCGATTTTGGGTTTGGAGTTCAGGCTCACGAATTTCCCCCCCCAGGCTGGCATCTGTTCGTCTAGGCTTCCACATCAGTTTCGCAGATGAGCCCTTAGCTCGAGCTCAGAGGCTACCACGGCCACCTGGCGCCACATGGATCCCGAGCCTTTCTGTGCTGGCCTCTGGAACTTGCGGTTCAGGGCTTTCACGGACTTTTAGGATTGATGGGGCTGAGAGGGTTCCGGGTTTGCAAAGAGTTTCTGGTTTCTGGGGTTTATGGTCCCTTCTTGTACAAACCTCTGGGTGCACAGCCAAAAGCAGCTCACGTGGTGCAGCAGAGTGCGTACAGCCTACAGTCTCGTTGGTGTGGTTTGATCATGGAGGATTATGTGGCTTAGGGGGTTGATGCTACTGTTACCTTGTGCATAAGCCTTCTTGCCAACCCCAAGTACCACCGAAGCCTATACCTATCCAATTCCAAAGCTGTCAACGCCAGGCCCAGCACCCCACTGTTGAGGGTTTAGACCCCGTAATCTTCTGATGCCGAAAGAACGCAATTCATCCTTAGGGCTTGAAGGTAGCAACCCAAAGCACCGATTCGATCAAGAACACGGAAGTCGAGACCCAATATCTACTGTTGTTGGTAACTATCTGTGTTTTGCTGCAACAATAGTGATAACGAAGAGAAACAAGAGCCAGGTACTAACAGCAGTGATAGCAATGACAATGACAACTGCGACTTCAAGATACCAGTTCACAGTACCCTCATAGCAGTGAGAACATCAACAAATGTGAGACTAGCAACAGCATGCATACTGTGATTTGCATTTGCATTCATATCGGTGTCCGAAGCGGTATCGCTAATTAGATAGCCAAAACGCATTAGCAATGACACTCGCGGTTGCTGCTCGGATATTATGGCTTATAACTGCTAGTATCATCATGCTTTGAACTGCTACTACTGTTACTATTTCTGCTCTTATTGTTATTATTGTTGTTGTTGTTGTGGTTGTGGTTGTTGTTGTGATTGTTGTTGTTGTTGCTAGCACACGTACGACTGTACCCGTGACGAGAGAGGCCGTGCGCTGGAGTCCATCGTCGAGGCCTCGAATTTGGAGGCCTCCGAGGCCTCCCGGGCTTCTTTTGGGCTTTCGAAGGAGATTCTAGTAGAGTTCTCGTGGGTTGGTAGGATTCTTAAATGGGGGGGGGGTTAGTTGATAAGGGGTCCTGGGTTTAAAGTGCTTCTTGTGCTTGTCGATGGTTTCGGTGTTTTAGCTTGAGTTTGAAGGTGTTCGAACAGGGCCGCAAAAGGTTTGCAATAGGCTTGTGATGCGGGCTTTCATGCAGAGATAGTTGCGGGCGCTCGAGTTTCTTTACGGGGATCTGATCTAAAGAGGTTACACATGACAAAGTTGTTACTGGGGTCTGCAGAGCCTACAACCCTACATCGTGACGAACTCCTGCTCTGCGGTGCTTTGCCGGCAACGACTTGCGATATCGCAGCATCCCCTGCACCGGTCCGTGCTTGCTGCTTTTTCTCGAGCCCAGAATGGTAAACCCGTAAACACCTATAGGCCTTGAGCCCCATCTCCCCCCACCCCCGCCTCGCATAAGGGGAGTCTGGCGTCCAAATCTGCCTGCAGGAGCTGATTTCGGCGAAATGCCACAAGCAGCTGCTCATCTGCACCTTTGAAACTTTGTAAGCTGTTGCCGCAATATCTCTGCACCAGGGTCTCGAGTAAACCTGACAAGCCATAATTGGAGGGTCAGAGGAGCTGGTAGGTAAGGTTGCAGCTACTTTGATTGGGGCCAGCAACAATAGCTATGGCTCCCCCGCCCCCGATTCCAATGCCGGAAAACCCCAACCCCATATAAGACGGATAGACTTGACAATGCGATCCCGTCATAGTCCCGCTCTAATTACACGGTAGTCCATGTACCTTCCAAACTTCGAAAATATCACGGCCCTAAACCCTAAACCTTAAACCCTAAACCCTAAATCCTTGAACCCTAAAGTTAAACCCTAAACCCTAAACAGTATGAGCCCGACACCAGTAAAGCCGAAACGCTCACGCAAAAGGCTCCGAAAGCTGGCGAGGGGAATGCGAATCGGCTGGGTCGGGGCCCGGGTTTAGCGTTTAGGGTTTAGGGGTTAGGGTTTAGGGTTTTTTGGGGTTTAGGGTTTAGGGTTTAGGGGTTAGGGTTTAGGAGTTTTTGGGGTTTGGGGTTTAGGGTTTAGCCCGAGTTGGTTATGTTGTAGTCTATCATTTAGGGTTTAGGGCTATTAGAGTATTAGAGTATGCTGCAATGCAGAAGTTCTTGGACGTTTGAAAGCTCTGGGTCATGTGGGTTGGGGGTTCTATTGAGGATATAGTTTTCATTTTTTTTGGATTTAGGGTCTAAGGGTGTCCGGCTTGCTCGGAGAATCGAGGAACGATACAGTTGTAGCTGGTTCTCACCCCGGTAGAAGAGAGTTAGAAGCGCAATGAAACAAAGTCTTCTCAAGTCGTCTTGCAAAAAACCTTGGAAATCCATGGTGGGGTTCGAGCCTCATGGTTTTCGGTCAACATAGGGGCCTTTTAAACAATAGGGTTTTGGGGAAAAAAGATGAGAAGGAACCCCCACAATAAGATAGGTTATCATTCAGGCCCCACTATACCCCGACACCCTGTTCCAATTATTAGGGCAACTAAATCATAGTACGCTTATAGTAGCGCTTATACCCTTTCAAGGGAACCCTTTTTCCCCTATTGTACTTATCAAGTCCCCTAAATTAGACGTTGATGGCTTGCAGGAGTGGGAGCTCCTCAATGCAACAGAGGCGGGAGGGGAGCGGACGGTTTAGGGTTTGGTTCAGGGCTTATAGGGTTTATAGGGTTTAGGGATGTTTAGGGGTTCGGGGGTTTAAGGTTTAGGGTTCAAGGTCGGCACCTTTCTTTCGGGGTTCGGGCTTCTTCTTGCTTAGGTTGAAACTTTCGGGTATGGCTTTCAGGGTTTGGGGCTTGACGCCCTTCTGCTGTGCTCCCGGATGTGGTCTCGAAGTTGCATTGGAGTGAACAGCAGTGAGAATTGGAGAGGAGGCCGGGCGGCACCTGACCCTGGACCTGTATACCCTAGACCCTAAGCCCTGAACCGCAACTTGCTCAATCTTACAACCTCCGTTTTTCAGATTCGGTCTAGGTCTCGACTCAAGAATAGGAGTGCTGAAAAGCCAACCCTAAAACCCTTAAGTCTTGATTCCCAAACAGGCCGAAGCCTAAGCCCTTTGGACCTCCACAGTATCGGGTTTCAGGTTTTGTCTGAGTTTTTGTTTGGGCTTGGGGCTTAGGATGTATCTAGGTCGTTTAGCTGCAAGAGTCTCGCAGGACTTGGATGCCGAAGCTCTGGCGAAGATCGACTTCGAGGAAGTGATCCGTCGAATGCAACTCCGCTGAACTTGCTTCCGCATTTCAAGTTTGGGAGAATTTTCATAAAAGTATAAAAGGTTAAGGCCCCCAAGCCCTATACCCTAAACCCCTAAACCCCTAAACCCTAAACCGTGGTTCGGGTTTCGGGTTGACGGGTCTTGCAGAATCCACACAAGTGGGGGAACACCAAAACCTCCAAGCCCTGAACCCTGAAGCCTCAAAGGCCTAAGACCATCCTATCGGAACTCTCTTCAGCCCTTCAAAAGCCCTCAAGACATCTTTGACTCATCCAAAACACTCCTGAATCTGGAGCCTATAATCACAAGTCCCACATCGACAGCCTTCCCAAAGCCTTTCTACACGCCCAAAATGTGCAAGTTCAGCCCTGAACCCTGAACCCTTGAGGAAAGACTCTCCGATCCAGCAAAAGCCGAGGCAATCTCTGGGTCCACAGAAACAGGCCTTCTCCCGCGTTGGGGTTTAGCGTTTAGGGTTTAGGGGTTGTAAGGGTTCAGGGGTTTAGAGGTTTGGGTCTATGGCTTTAGCGGTTGGTACCGGCATTTACCGTCAGCCGCCAGAATCGCAAAAATCTTGGAAGCTTGAAACTCTGACTCATCAAGCTATACGAAAGCCAGCAATCATCTTGACAGGTTCACCTTGACCGCAACGACCCCGAATTCCTTAGCCCCTTGAGCCCTGAAACCACCAGGCGCCGAGAGTCTCCAGCCGGACAACAGGCCTAAAGCCTTAAGCCCCAGGGTCCCAAGCAATCTCACTAAACCCTAACCGGTATGAGCCCTACAGCCCCAAACCATACGGCCAAGAAAGAAAAACACACACACACACACACACAAACGCATATACACAACTCCGCAGCCTTTGGCTTGCGGTATCGCATGAAGCGCCCGGCGGCCGCGCCACCCCGGCGGGCAAAGCGGGCAAAGCAGATGGCGGAGGGAGCGCTCTTCGTCGGCCTAGAGGGGGTGCTCATTGCTTTAAACAGGGCTTTGCACCGTATTCATGAGAATTCGCCAAGGTTTTGGTATTATATATGACACTTGTTGGACCCGAAGAATGGGCCATAAAAGAGTGTCAAGGATCTAGGGGGTTCAGGGGTCCTTCTGGATGTTAAGAATACAGAAGTTACGGGCTTTAGGAGCTTCAAGCGTTGAATTCTTTAATCTTTCTCTTTCGAAGGGCTGAGAGTGTCTGCCCCCCGAATACTACCTGTAACGCAAAAAACTCTACGTGTCTTAATTCGGAATCCTTACTGATTCTTTTTATAGTTCTTTAGAAGTGTAGGGCCCGGTTTTTGGACTACAGGTCATTACCCTAGGGCTCCATAGTAGCTCCTTTTGGGGGTTCATATTTAGAATCCTCTAAGGTAGTCCCAAAAAGGAACTACTATGGAGCCTCTAGGTAATCCTTAACTAGTGCAGTTGAGGCCTCGTCGGGTTGAGGCTTGTTGGGGTTTAGGGTGGGTGGTTTTGGATTTTGTCATTCTGCTCCTGGTGTAACCCCAAAGGGCCCAAGTATCATTCTGGTATATACTTAGACCCCCAAACTACCCTGTAAGCATATACCATAATGATACTTGGACCCTTTGGGAACTGGACCTCCGACCCAAAGCTAGACCTCTAACTGGAAGAGAGTTCTACTATTCTCTCGGCTGTGATGGATGGTAGTTTTCGAGGTTTGGCGGTTGGGGCATCAAGAGTCGTTTTTGGGGATGTTGCCTTAGGATTTCCCAGAGCTTTGGCTCTTCAGTTAATTTTGACGGCAAGCATTGAACGCCTATGGGTCGGGGTTGATGGATTTAGTTTCTGGGGTTGTGGGTTTAGTTGTGTTCTGTTTCGGGCTTGCTGGTTTACGGTCTTAGCGAGGGTGCCTGCAGGTGCCTGCAGGGTTTTCGAGCTACTTTTCAGGGAAGGTTCCTCGATGGCCGTTGCTGGGATCCCCTATTTCCAACCCTTTAAAACTAATTCCGACATCGCGTACGCATCACCGATGTTGTGAGTGCTCTAAGGCTTCTTGACAAAACTGGCGATCTCATGGGCGCAGCTATAGGGTCCACATACTGTTACGGGGGCAGTGGTCGCATTGCTTGTGTACCCAACAACACCCCAACCCCACCCAACTATAGGAGCCTGAAATATTCAGAGCTATGCGGTGTAAGGGTTCAGGGTTGAGGGGTACTTCAGGGTTTATCAAGACCCTTAGAACAACGGGTACGTGCTTGACATCACAAACAAAAATGCCTCCAAACGAAGTCATGTGCTCTTTCGAGGCAGCGAGTGCAGATCTTCGTGACCGGGAAAGTACAAGGTGTACCTCGGCGTCAGGACAGCCAAGACACCCTGCCCTAAGAGTCCGAAGGACTCAAGGGTCAGTTACTTGGGTTTAGGAGAGTTGGATGTACTGCTTAACTTAGGGTTCCGAAGGACCACCTAATGGTTAGGCACTTGGGCTCATGATCGTAGTTTTGTAGGTTAGTGTGTCTGGGCGGGTTGATGCTCGTCAGTTTTCTGAAACTCTAAGTACCGAAACCGAAAACCCTAAACTCTAAACCCCCTAAACCCCGGCAAAGGAGCCCTGCACCATTTAAGCAACCCTAACCCGATTCAACAAAGCGGTAAAGATCCTGCTTGCTATTGAGTGTCTATCCCGTGAGTCGGCTGCCGGTAGCAGACGCCACGTCACTTAGATCCCCAATACCTAACCTTGAACATCTTTGGGTTCTTATAGTTTAGTAGGAATCGGAAAGTTTAACATTTTATTTCTTTGGCTTATTCGGGTAGTAAGTTCACGTGAACACTGCAGTATCCGCTGATTCGTGCTCCGCCGACGACTGCAGCGTCCTGAACCGGAGGCCTACCCCCAAGCCCTCAACTCAATTCTCATGTAGGCTTTATGATTTAGGGCTCGCAACCCTGAGTCCTGAATGTCCTGTCTATAACATCAACTCGGCAAAAGGTCTACTACAGAGACACCACGAAGCTCATGGGCCCCTTGGACCGAGGGGGGGTGGTGGTAATAATAAGACGAAAGATAGTACATAGCGAATATAACAATACCAACAAGGGCAATTGTGGTAGTACTATTCTGGGTAATAGGAGAAAGAACAATTCATGTCATGACGTCTGATTTTCTATTTTGGGTTGCAATGTTACTTGCGGTTATGCTCTCCTTGCACATACTGCTACATGGTATGTTTGGGCTTCCGGCGTGGTTTGGGGCTTCAGGTCCGGCGGGCGGGGTAAAGTTATGGCGGATGAAGAGATGAGCAGGTCATAGTAAGCTTCTCGCCGTGATACAAGAAGAATGGAGCTCTTCCCCGGAACGGACATCTTTATGCTCTTTGGATCCGGGTATGGCCCCATATGTCCGTAAGTTTTGTCCTCCGGGTTTAGGGCTGAGTACGACGTTCATGATGGAGGCTGTCGGCAATTCTTCCGAGAGATGCCTCCAAACCCTACTTAAAAAGTCATCCAAAGCTCGGGGTCAGCCTTTTGGTGGCCAGCCCTAGGTATAGCCGTCTTGGCTGGCCCCGGTCCTTCAAGTAAGATAGTAAGCTTCCTAATGCATGGTCACGTGCCAAAGATTGTTCCGCAAGTATGGTCTTGAGAAGTTCGGGTGTGCACTACTATAGTTATAGGGGCCTCAACAATCACCTATACTACTATTTCGGGGGTTCCTTGTCATAACTAGACTATAATGGGCCCAAAAAGCTGTTCTAACTCTTAGGGTAGCGACACTACGGCTCTCAGGTGACCGTTTGGGTCTCAGCGGCTCTGCTTGGCCACTGGGCCTAGCTTGGTTTGCTTGGGTCTTTTGGTTGTGGATGGTCGCTTTTGTGGGCAATTGGCGTGGACAGAAGAGTTTGTATTGCGAAGCTTAAGTATCAAAGGTGCCTATGATTGCTGAAACGCCCTAGACTTAAACCCTCAGCCCTGATACAACCCCTATAGAATCCTTGCTGGCATTCAGTCCGCGAAGGAACCCTCAGAGGAGCCTTTACATAAACCTTGCGTTCTCCCAGCCCCAAACCCTGACCCCTAAACCCCCAATGCTCGGAGCGGAGAAGTCAAAGGGAGTGCGGCCAGCTTTTTAAGAAGAACAACCTCAGACCCAAAACCCTTGATCCTGTTCTTTGGGTTTTAGAACTTACCCTAAACCCTATAAACCCCAAACCCTAGAGCCTGTACTTAGGAATCTCAGCGATGGGCGTGTGGAGATCTTGGCAGAAGGGCCGACAGTGTCTCGGCTTCTGGAGACCCTCCCCAAGGGCTTATGGCCCTTAATTGTGGGTGTAGGGGGAGGGTCTATGTCTTCGGGGTTGAACATGAGGCTTTTGGGGTTTGGGGGTTAGGGCTAGGCTTTAAGATTTAGGGGTTCTAGGTTCCTGTATATTAAGGGCATTATAAGGGTTCCTTTAAGGGTTCTATATGGTTTTAGGCTTCGGGAATGGCAGTCGGAGCAATGAGGTTGAATCCTACCATCCAAACCTTGGGCGGCAATCCGAAAACATCTTACTTGGAACCTACTATAGACCCCTTGAAAGGGAACCCTACTATAGACTCCTTCAAAGGGAACCCTACTTTAGATCCCTTTAAAGGAACTTGCAACCTCTTTAGATTAAGCCGGCAAACCCTCACAACCCAGGCTCCAAAACCGCGGGCTCATGCACCCTGAACCCTGCTCCGTCAGCTCCAATCCCCGATTTTCCTGGAACCGTAGAACCCACAGCTTGAGGGTTCCATGACTTCCTTAGGAGACGACAGACTGGTTGATGTTGAGGTAGTCGTAGTCGTCCTCAAATTTCCTAAAACCCCACCCAATCCCGCCTCCCCCGCACTCCGAATACTTGTAGCTGCAAGGCCTGAAGTTCAGGCCTTCCTTCAAGCTAGTAGTAGAGTATGTAATGTTTAACCTTTTTTGGGTAGTATAGCCCCTACAATCCGTATAGAACCAAAAAGGTGAACCTTTAGTTCCCCATGATACCCGACAAGTAGGTGAAGCAGCTATAGCTCTTCTTTGTGCAAACCTTCGCTTAGTGAGTTTTGGAGTTTGGAGCATGTGTCTTCCAGGCACACAGAGAGGATGGACTCAAGGTTTGATAAGCCGCCGACTGCAGATAAAACGGCATGAATATGAATCCGGCGGTCAAGTACCCAAATAGTAGGGTTTGAAGTCCCCAAAGCCATTCAGAGTATGGATTTTGGGGCCTAACACCCCGCTATTTGGGTACGTGCAACCTCTGGTTCAGGAATGGTTTTGCGGTTTAGGGCTCCGGGTTGGGTTGGACCTTTTGAGGTTGACACTTAGAGTTGGTGAGGCTCAAAACTCATGGTTTTGAGTGGCTCAGGGCTTTTCATGACCTTGAAACCTGAACCCACGCCCCAACCAGAATCATTAAAGCCCCACGCCCCTCAAGACCCGTAGTCAAACCCGTAAACCGGTAATGTTCGAGCCTACTTAAAGGATCATGGGACTTAGTAACCAGGGTTATAATTAGGGTAACTATACTTATAACCCCAATTAAGGTACTTATAACCTTACTTACTAAGTCCCATGATCCTCCAAGTAAGTCAGAAACCGATGAACCCTAAACCCTCAACACCCCGAAGCCCTACAGGCCCTAAACCCTCAAGCCCTGAAACCCTCAAAAACCCTAAACCTACATCCAAAACCCTAAGCCCTAAATCCTAAATCCCTTACAGATCCCTCTAAAGGGACCCCTTATGGTACTCTTTAAAGGACCCTAAACCTTAAATTTCTAAGCCCTAAATCCTAACCCCCAAACCCCTAAACCCCAAACTCCCTTTAAGGAACCCTATTCTAACCCTGAAACCCTAAACCTCAATGCGAGCTGGCTAAGGACAAGCTCAAAGATCTCGTGGAGTGGTGTTGGAAAGGACATACCGGGGGGTTATCAGGGTCAAGCGTTATATACTTGTTCTTAGGCTTCGGGGGTTTAAGGTCTAGGGTTTAGGGTACGTGTTCTCGTTAGAATGGGTTCGCACAGTGCTTTTACAGGATTTGCATGCGTTTTGTACTTGGTTCCTTGGTTCTTGCCCTTGGTCCATCCGAAATCCTAAACGGCAGGTCTGGCATGACGAATCTTGGGATTGCTGTGTCTTGTGCTCTCACTCTCTCGCTCTCTCTTATTCTCCCTTGTTCTCGCTCTTTGTCTCTCTTTATCTCGGTCTCTTTCTCTCTCTTACACATACATATACATAAAGAGCTACATACGTGTGTGCGTGTCTATATCTGTATCTCTCTCTCCCTCTCACTATATATATATATATATATATATATATCTATCTATCTATCTATCTATATATATATATATTTTATTGATTTATTTATAAGTTTACTTATTTAATTATGTTTTAATATATTTGCCCAACAACTACTCAAACTACTCAGCCGGAAGCCGCAGTCGGTCAGGCCCCGAAGGCGCAGCGGAGGTGGGCATCGAGCCTCTTGGCCGGAAGAAGCGTGTGTTTGTTGCAGTTTAGGGTTTTAGGGTGTTAGGGTTTAGGGTGTTAGGGTTTAGGGTTTTAGGGTTTTAGGGTTCAGGGTTTAGGGTTTAGGGCGGCTTGTTTAGGGGTTTTGTGGTGCTTTTGACTAATATAGGCGAGTTTGTATATACGGTTTTACAGGTTTTTAGCTTAGGGTTTATCCGATTCTGTGTTTTGTGGTTGTAAGAGGGCACTTCAGCCGGCCGCAACCTGCAACCCTGTTCTAATCGCAAAGAGCCCTAGGTAGCCCAAATGAAATCGTGCCCCTGTCAAACGTTACAGTAAACGCTATACAACACGGCTCCCGGCACAATCCCCCCCCACACCCTGTAACCCCAAGACCTTCAACTCTCGACCCCATAAGCCCTAAAACTCCTAAAACCCTATTTGATCTGAAAGCCCTCGAACATCACACAAAACTATCTAGGCTGAAACCCTTGTGGATCCCTTAAAGGAGCCCTTGTAGTACCCTTGAAATGAATCCTCAAACCCCTAAACCCCTGTACACCCCTTAATGAAACCCTGATTACAGTACAGAGGAGCCCTAAGGCTCCCAAAGCCCTGATAGATCCCTTAAAGAAACCCTTATAGTACCCGATAAATGAACCCTAACACCGCCCCTTGAAGCCCAAAAGCCCCTAAAACCCCTACACCCCTCAAAGGAAGCCTTATAGTACACTCCCTAAACCTCCTACAGATCCCTTACAGGAACCCTTATAGTGCCCTTTAAATGAACCCTAACCCACCCCCCACCCCCCCCCCAACCCCTAAAGCCCAAAACTGCCACCGCCCAGGAACTCACTCACCGCGAAGCGGAAGGCCGGTCCTTTGGGCTCTTCCTTCAAGGACTGCCTTATCCCAGAGGGTCCCTATAGGGTTCCTTTAAAGGGTACTATGAGGGTTCCTTTTAAAGTTTTAAAGGTTACCATTAGGGCTTTAAGGGATCTATAGGGGTCTCCTTCAAGGACTACCTTATACAAGAGTTCCTTAAGGGACTCTCTAAGGGATCCTTAAAGGACTGCCTTGTAAAAGAGTTCCCTTACGGGATCTATAGGGGTTTAGCTTTAGTGTCTACTAGGCTGTTCCTTCAAGCTTCAAGGACTGCCTTATCCCAAAGGGTCCTAAGTACCTACAAGGGTTCCCTTAAAGGGTGTCCTTGAAGGGTTCCGTATATGCACGAGTGCGTGTTGTAATTCGAATATGCATAATATATATATATATATATATATATATATATATATATATATACATATATGTACACATACACACATATATGAGTATATAGATAGATAGATAGATATGTGCGCACCACAGTTTAAAAAATGAATAGAACACGTCAGAAATGTAACATACAAGGGTGTCCAAGGGTGTCTATAGGGGTTCCTTCAAAGACTCCTTTCACATGGCTTTCTAGGATTTCTGCAAGGGGTTCTGTAAGGGGCCGGAGATGTTTATTGATTTCGGGAATGTTTAAAGCATGGGTTGAGGCCCAGATCCAAGATCCATATCTCCTAAACCTTAATTAAATCCCTCAACAATCCTTCTTCGGATACTTTACCCTTATTTTCAGCCCGCATGTCGTCGTCTGCTTGACTTCCGGGCCACCTCTGACCGAGGGATCAGGGAGAGTAGCAAGCAGGAGTTAGACAAAAACGAAAAACATCAGTTTCAAGGCTTTACCGCTTGCAATCCGCAAGGCCTGATAGTCCTCTGCTGCGACGCACAATGCTGCGAGAGATGGCTGTTCAAGTTTCACAAGCGCTTCGCACGGCAGCATATGATTTGCAGTGGTCGCCTGAGGAGACTGATCACTTCATCGAATGCTTTACCAACGGCAGGGCCCTTGAAGTAGGCGCACCCGACAAATGTGTCATCGTGCTGAGCTGGTCAAGAAGCGCAAGCACGTCCAGCAGGTAAGTGAGCTAGCAGCTAGCCAGCCTGAAGATCCAGCTGCAGGCCATTGAGGCAAAGCTCACAGGGTCAGAGGACAACCGCATGCAGCAAGCAGATATGCAGATGGACATGCTGAAGACCGTCCTGGGAGCAACTGAAAGGGCAGACGGCGGAGCCTGGGCCTTCAAGTCAGCTACAAGCCAGAAGAATCTCTATAGTCTTAGGGTTTAGGTTCTATATAACTCTTATGCCAGAAAAGTCAGAAGAATCTCTATACCATTTCTTAGGGCCTTAGGGTTTAGAGTGTATAACTGGAATACCAGAAAGAAACCCAAAAGCCCGTTCTATTTGTTGAGCGTTCGAGTTTGGGGTCTCAAACTTCAACCCATCCGCCTTAGCCCCAAGCCATACACCTGCACCCGAGACCTTACCACCACTAACTTAAGGGACTGGGGAGACTTAGAAAGTCGGGTTTAAGATTGGGTTTGTCTCCTAATAATCCGAAGACTCAAACCCCTGAACCCCGACTCTCAAGCTCAAAAACCCAAAACCCATCCAGAAGAACCTAACAAGCCTTGGAACCCAGCTTACCAGATCCTTCCACTTAGGGTTCTAGGGCTCCTTCAAGGAATCCGTAAAGGGTTCCTGTTACGAGTCTACCCTAGGGCTCCATAGTAGTTCCGTTTTGGGGTTCATATTTAGAATCCTATAAGGTAGTCCCAAAAAGGAACTACTATGGAGCCTCTAGGTATAAGGGTACTGTGACCAGTTGTGGGCCAGGTCACCGACGTCGCAGTGACGTGGGAGGAGCCGAAAGGTCCACCGCTTTGGGGTTTTGTTGGTTTAGGGTTGGACCGCTTCCAACAGACGTGTAAGCTTCTGGTATGTAGGATTTCGGTATATTTCGGTGGTTCAGGATCTGGAGTTTAGTTTTTTTTTTTTTTTTTTTTGGGGGTGGGGTGTGGTGTGTTTACGTTTTAGGGGGTTCGATCTTCAAGAACTTGTAGAACTCTGCCATCTTACTTCAAGAGAGTCCTACCAGATCAAGGGCTTCTTTTCGAGGCCAAAAGGAATTTCCATCATGTGCGAGTTGAACAGTTGAACAGGATTTCGTGACGAACGAGGAGATCTGTGCATGCGACCTTGATAGACACAGTAGGGCTGCCAAGCCGGCTAGATGTTGTTCATAATATAGACTCACCTGCACTAGATGTAGGCAGATCGATTAATAACTCGGATTCTTGACTATCTTATTCTGAATGATGTATCGGCTGCTCTCTTTTGTTGGGTGCAGCCCTTAAGCAGGAACCCCGAACGCTAAGTTCCTGAAGAGGCCATTTGTAGTGTAAGATTCCAAGTTTGAGCTCACTTCCAGGTTTAGAAAAGAAGCTCGCCGAGCCAGCCATCAAATAGTTCCGACCATCCATCCCAGTCCATCTTTAGTTGTCTTTATCACTTTCACCTACCCAGTCCCCTGATCCTCCGAACAGTGGCTCTTCATGTTTTCTCGGATTCAGGATTTGGGCTTCGGCACTTGGGTGACACAGTCCCCCGATCCTTCAGTAATGTATGAAGAGGCGTTTGCTGCCATTAATTCCTGTCAACTTCTGCTCATGGTTTGGAGTTCCGGATACGGTGCTGATAGTCGTAACAGGCAACCACGAAAAGCTACCGCCTAAAGTGTTTTCTCAAGCCCTAAACCGCCAGATCTTGAGCCAAAAGCCTAAAGCCCTAGGCCCTCAATACTACCCTAACCCCTAAACCCTAAACTCCTAACCCCCAAGCTTCTATACCCCTAAAGGCGAAAGCCCCTAAACCCCTAAAGGCGAAAGCCCCAAAGTCTACGACAGGAAGCCTTAGTCTTCGATGGGAGGCGGACTTCCTTCCCCGTTCAGCAACGCCGGCAAGAAGTGAGACGATCCTGTCTGGGAGTTTCCGAAAATTTGGGATACCTTTAAAGGGATCCTTGAGGGCTTACTATAAGGATACTGTAAGGGTTCTACAAAGGTTTAGGGGTTAGGGTTTAGAGTTTCCGAAAATTTGGGGTAAATTGAAAGGGATCCTTCAGGGCTTACTATAAGGATACTGTAAGGGTTCTACAAAGGTTTAGGGGTTAGGGTTTAGAGTTTCCGAAAATTTCGGGTACCTTGTTTTGGGATCCTTGTAATAAGGATCCTACTATTTAATACTCTATTCGGGTCCCCTAGTTTCGGAAACTCCTATCTCGAGTTCGTGTGATATGGGGTCGGAACGAGTGGCCCCTTCTATTCCTTGATACTCCCTTCTATACAAGTATGGTATAACTGTGTAACATACCCACTTGAAGCCCCTATTCTAAGTAGTTAGGGTTCCTTTATGAGGCGAGACAGGTCATCGTTTATGGAGTCTTTATACCCTGAACCCTGAACTCCAAATCCAAAGCCCTACACCCCGAAACCGAGAGTTAGCCTGCCAAAGTGCTGTCTGTGTCTGTCGGACGCCAAAGAGCAGCGTACAACAAGACAAAAAGACACCTACCCGTAAAGCTAAAATATCTAGGCCTGCAGTGTTTAGGACTAACAGATAGGTGGGTAGATCAATCGTATAATAGGTCATGAACATAAGTAATACTCACAGAAATAAACATGTGTTGGATGAACAGATAAACAAGTCATGTGAAGTAAATAGAAAACTGAACGAACAAGTGCATGTGTGTATGCGCATATATGTATATGTATATATATATATATGTGTGTGTGAGAGAGAGAGAGAGAGTTTGGGTTTCGTTTTTGCATTTAAGGATTAGCATATGGCCCTTACTTAGCTTGCGAACGCCGCGTTCGCCTTAAACCTTCAGAAAGGCGTCGGAATTATTGGTAATATCATTGTCGAATCATTGTTCATGTAGGGTTTGCATGGCATGCACGCATTCATAACTAGACATATATATATATATATGTATACCTATATGGATATATAAAGTTTGGTATGTCACATAGTCCTATTCTGATCATTGAGGCCCCAACATGAACCACAGAACCCTGAAGTACCCTATCCTGCATATTGTAGCCTGAGAAATGATCAGAAGGAAGCCGTTATGCCGACACTTCACGAATAACTGGTCTTGTTACGAAACCCTAATTTCCCCCCCCCCCCCCCCCCCCTGTGCACTCTCCTCACCCTTGAAGCAAACCCCCCCCCCCCCTTTAGATAAGTTGACCCCATGGCTCAGAGACCTTCCAAATGCTCCCTGGTTCAGGCAGCATACGGCCAGTAGCTCAGAGTCTATCTTGCATGAGGCTTCTTTAAAGGGAACTCCAGAAAGTTGGAATATGGTTTCAGGGTAGGATACCTCATAATTTACCATAAAGGGTTTAGGACAACCATATTCCAACTTTCTGGCTTTTACTTTAAGGGTTCCTTCTTAAGGGTTCTCGTAAGGGTTCCTTTCGAATTCCCGTCCGGGCTCTTGTGAACAAGGCTTAGCGTTTCTTTAAGCTTTCAGGTAAAAGCTGGCTGTTTTTTTGCTCTAGCAGGGTTCTGTAGGGTGCGTTGTATGGCATTATGACATCCAGGGTCTAGGGTTTTCGTGTCTAAGCATGTCTCGCTGGGGTTTTAGGTCAATGTTAGGATCATGTTTGTCTGCGTTTTTTTGTGGAGTTTTGGTTTAGGTCAACGTTGGGATCCCGTTTGTCTTTTTTGGGGGGGAGTTTGGGCTTGCCTTTGTATCTACATGTCATTTTCAACGGTCTCTGTGGGGGGTCTCACTTCTGGTCTTTGTAGATTTGTTCTTGGGAGGAAGAGTCTTCAAATACTGCGTGGGGCCGGCGTGTGTTATCTACAAGCCGTACAAGCTCGTGCCGGCGGCCCTTCCGCGCTGAACTGGCCGAATTTATCCCCGACTGCTGTATATGCCACCATGGTATCCTCCCTTTAACCCAGAGAGCCCAGTACTCCTTAATTAAGGAATATAGCTTAAATCACAATATGAAGCCCCTTATAATTTAAGGTGTATTGCTTAATTAAGGGTATTGGACTCTCTGGGAAGCACGCAGTCTATGTAAGCACTAGGGTTAAGGGTTGAGGAAGCAGCAAAACAGCGATTTCTCGATCTGTGCAGCTCCATGCCTGTGCGTCTGATGCAACACTCGCCGCTGCATCAACCAAGTGCCTAGGAACAGTCTGGGATTTAGGGTACGTAGAGGGCCTTTGGGCGTCTATTGTTTGGGAGTTTCAGGGCCTTTGGGTTTCTAGGGTTTGGGAGTTTGAGGGCCTTTGGGTTGTTAGATTTGGAGAGTTTGAGGGGGGCCATGCTTGCTCGATGTTGGGGATCCTGGTTGCTTCGCAGTGGTTTGGCTTTCCTTGTGCGCAACTGAACCTGTAAGCAGCGTCCTTTTTCCTCTTCTCCGAAGAAGCGCTCAATGCAGGGCTTCAGAGTTTATGGGTCTTAAAGGCTTTAGGGTTTCGGTTTTTCGAAACGTGATACCTACGTTGTCAACCGGGGCAGAAAGGGAAGAACCAGGACTGAGCACTTCCTATCCTTGGGGTCGTTGAGTCGCGAGAACCCTGTCATGTAGGGCCCATATAGTGTCAGCGTTCCGGAAATCCCACTGCTCATTGACCTGGTTCTCTATCCTGAGCCGTTTTGTTAGTAGGTGCCATTCTTTGCATGATGAGTCCCGGCTCGGTGTGCACTCGTTGCTGAGGCTTGATCAGAGTTGGGGACCGTCACGGTGCCACTTCTATCAAGAGGCCTGCACCGGAAAGATGCAGGAGAGGGAGTGATTGCGGATCAGTTTGTAGCCACACCTCACATGCTGGAAAGTATGATTCACGCATTGAGTTTTGTCACCTCCGAGTATGTGGTAGTGGTAGCTTTTGTTGCAACGGCAGGCATAAGGGTAGCGATAGTAGTGTTGCTCGTAGTCGAGGTATTTGTACTGGTAGTAGTGGTCGTAGTAAGACAAGGAGTAGCAGGATGAGCAAGAGGGTGGGCTGCTGCTAAAGTCACCGTAGGCCACCGCCACCGTCGCGTCAGAACGCTACCCCTGCCTCACCACAACCCCCGCCACCGCCACTAGCACCACAGCACCAGCGCCACCACATTTGCTGATGCTGACGTGTCGGCGAACCATGTGTGCCTTACAGTCTTGGGTAGCACTGGCAACCTACCTTACTGCTACTGCTACTGTGACCGATGGATGTGAGGTTGCATTGTTGTTGGTCGTGTGGTTGTCGATGCTGTTGGGGCTTATATGTGCAATAACGTAAACATGACGTGTATCGCAGCCTTCCTTCTTCGGGACTTAAGCTTCAGCACGAAAGACGAATCGAGGAAGAGTAGGACTGTGTTTATTTCTGCATCCACCGTTCGTCAGTATTGTTGTTTCGCTGGGTGCTGCGCTTCTTTCCGGACTCCGAAACCCCTAAACCCTAAACGTGTCGGCAGGCGCGACGGGAAGCCCCAATCGGATTCGTCGGTTCCATCTCCAGAGGAGACATTGCAGTGGACCTCGGCGTCGGGATTGTGGCTACCACAAGGATTAGGGATGTTGCATGGAGATATCGGGGCCCGAAGAACTAGAAAATAGTTTTGGCGTATATTACACTGTGTTCCTATGCGGAATGCAAGGGGATTTCGTCACTAAGTGTTCCGCCCCTATGTGTTCCGCCCCCTGTATTTGGGTCGATGGTGGAAGGACGACAACTGTCGTCGGTTTCTTAAACGGGTAGACCGTCAAACGAACAGTAACAGTGCAACTTCAATGAAGATGTACGACACCAGACATCTGATGTGTTCACACGTGCAGAAGGAAACCACGTGCAGGCCAAGATTTGGGGGCCCGGCCATGCCCTTTCGTCCCTGAAACCCCAACGCATGCAAACATAGACACCTATGGAACAATTTCTCACTCTTTCTCACTCAAACCTCAAAGTCCTCAAGACCAGGAGTATGCCGCAGCAGTCGCTTCGCAAGCCTCCACGGTTTGGCACCGACAGGACCAGCAGAGAGTTCGGGTACCATAGAGCCGGTCGTGGTGCCAGCTGGGGAGCAGCTTCTGTTTTTTGTTGTTCACCTGTGGAGGCGTTGGTGATTGGACATGTCGAGCTTCAAAGGACAGGTATGAGTATCATCTTAGCCAGCAGTGGCAGCTATATGCAACTAGTATTTGGGTCCCTTAGCATTTATGGAGAACCTCTGCCCAGGCTTAATCCCCGCCAAAACCAGCATCCCTGGAGCATCGCTTGTCAAAAATAAGGTTTTGACAGCCTAACACCAGAAACAGAGAGCATCACTAGGAAACGAATCCTCAAGAAACACTCGAAGCTCAAGCTCAAGATCGACAGTTGGCTGGCTAGTCCGCCAGGATCCCTTACAAGAACCCTGAGTAAAATCCAAAGCCTAAGCCCTACGACGCACCCTAAGCCCCGAGAGTTACACAAAGCAGGCCATGGGCATGGCATTGGAGTCCTTCCAGGCAGCGAATGTGGCCAAGCCCTCAGAGCGGCTTTAGTCAAAGGGCAAAAGGAGGGACCCTTAATGGGGACCCCTTCCCATAATGGGCCAGTTTTTCACGGGTATATATCTAGGGGTCCTTATTAAGGATTTATGATTCAACATGTGCGTATGAGTGTTATGCAATTGATTGGTTTGCGACGTTTTATCGCTTTATATGTTGAGGTTGTTTGCTTCGGAGTTTTACAGTTTGAGTTGTCCGGCTTTTGCCGGGTTTTGGGGTTCGGGACGCTAAAGGCTCTAGGATTGGGATCTCACGTTCGGGTCTTGAGGATGGGAAGGGTTTAGAGGCACCCTGGACCCTAAACCCCTAAAGCCTTAACCCTATGCCTACACCGTAAGGCCAACCAAAAGTCCTTCACAGGGTCTCACCGCCCGTCGCACTGCCAGGAGCGACTTCTGGACATCGGGGCGAGCT